CGGACTAGCCGTAGACATTCTCTACATTTACAGAATAAATAAGTTAGTGTATTTCCTAAAAATTTCGTTCTTGGTGTTCTTTTCTTTTGTTTTGCACAAAAGCGAAATGCTGTCATGAAGCTTTTCCTCAAGCTGCCTCCACTGAGTGAGCAGCGGCGCCCTCTGCAGTTTGTGTGTGGAAGTGCAAAAGCTTACAGCACCTGGTATTCCCAGGCGGTCTCCCATCCAAGTACTGACCAGGCCCGACCCTGCTTAGCTTCCGAGATCAGACGAGATCGGGCGTGTTCAGGGTGGTATGGCCGTAAGCGAGGACCCGCTATAAAAGACCTTTTATACTTGGCAAATGTCACGCACTTTAAAATATAGGATTGTACTAAGCTTCACATGTTACAGCGAAAACATGCAAACCTTTGTTGTGAACTGCAGCTTCAACACTGAGCTGCAAAAATGCTTTTCCCGCGGTAACGTCACCATAATAACACATGTTACTTTCTCACAGCACAGTGTTAAAGTGACACAGAGCACACAGTGTGTTAGGACCATTTGGAAGTCCAGCATTTTTGTGCTTTGGACAATTCAACTTATATACAGGACATAAAAACCTAAGCATGACTGCGTCATCACAGCATGTATAAAGAGGCTGTTTGTCAAGCAGTCCCTCGCTTACGGCCACACCACCCTGAACGCGCCCGATCTCGTCTGATCTCGGAAGCCAAGCTGGGTCGGGCCTGGTCAGTACTTGGATGGGAGACTTCCTGGGAATACCAGGTGCCGTAAGCTTTTGCATTTCAACACACAAATGACAGTTTAAATAGTGAAACGGATCTGAGGCACTCTTTAAGCTCATTTTCCAATAGGATGGTTAGTGAGTCTTGCGCAAAGAGCTCTTCCACTCATGTAGTAATGTCAAATTCTTCAAGCGTTACATCAGTATCACTGTACATGCACAGAGCACCTGTAGATGTTTTTGTGCAAAGACTCACAATTGTTTATGACGTGAATATTGCAGCATTAAGTATGCATTATAACTGTGCTGTCATGTGCAGCTATTAAAAATAAAAGTAGAAACTAATCAATATGCTTCACTCTAAATTGTTTTTTAAATCCCAATAAATGGGTTACAGTATCTACATGAAGCCCGTTGTCGAGGAAGCCTCTCACTTACGGCCATACCAGCCTGTTCTCATCTGATCTCTGAAGGTAACCAGGGGCGGTCCTGCATAGTCGCGTCACCTTCACCTTGCTCCATGTTAGAAACTCCATGATATCGTGTTCCCTGCTCAGGGTAGCACACTGATGCGCATTTATTCAGTATCTTCGGGGCCGCAGTCGGCAGCCAATAAGAGTTAAAACTGGTTGCACAAGAGTGTCAGGTTGACACTGTGCCCGCTGCACGCTACAAGGTCAACGAGTTCCTCACTATTGAGCCCAGACGGACTAGCCGTAGACATTCTCTACATTTACAGAATAAATAAGTTAGTGTATTTCCTAAAAATTTCGTTCCTGCTGTTCTTTTGTTTTGCACAAAAGGAAATGTTGTCATGAAGCTTTTCCTCAAGCTGCCTCCACTGAGTGAGCAGCGGCGCCCTCTGCAGTTTGTGTGTGGGAGTGCAAAAGCTTACAGCACCTGGTATTCCCAGGCGGTCTCCCATCCAAGTACTGACCAGGCCCGACCCTGCTTAGCTTCCGAGATCAGACGAGATCGGGCGTGTTCAGGGTGGTATGGCCGTAAGCGAGAGAAGCCCGCTATAAAAGACCTTTTATACTTGGCAAATGTCACGCACTTTAAAATATAGGATTGTACTAAGCTTCACATGTTACAGCGAAAACATGCAAACCTTTGTTGTGAACTGCAGCTTCAACACTGAGCTGCAAAAATGCTTTTCCCGCGGTAACGTCACCATAATAACACATGTTACTTTCTCACAGCACAGTGTTAAAGTGACACAGAGCACACAGTGTGTTAGGACCATTTGGAAGTCCAGCATTTTTGTGCTTTGGACAATTCAACTTATATACAGGACATAAAAACCTAAGCATGACTGCGTCATCACAGCATGTATAAAGAGGCTGTTTGTCAAGCAGTCCCTCGCTTACGGCCACGCCACCCTGAACGCGCCCGATCTCGTCTGATCTCGGAAGCCAAGCTGGGTCGGCCCTGGTCAGTACTTGAATGGGAGACTGCCTGGGAATACCAGGTGCCGTAAGCTTTTGCATTTCAACACACAAATGACAGTTTAAATAGTGAAACGGATCTGAGGCACTCTTTAAGCTCATTTTCCAATAGGATGGTTAGTGAGTCTTGCGCAAAGAGCTCTTCCGCTCATGTAGTAATGTCAAATTCTTCAAGCGTTACATCAATATCTCTCTACATGCACAGAGCACCTGTAGATGTTTTTGTGCAAAGACTCACAATTGTTTATGACGTGAATATTGCTGCATTAAGTATGCATTATAACTGTGCTGTCATGGGCAGCTATTAAAAATAAAAGTAGAAACTAATCAATATGCTTCACTCTAAATTGTTTTTTAAATCCCAATAAATGGGTTACAGTATCTACATGAAGCCCGTTGTCGAGGAAGCCTCTCACTTACGGCCATACCAGCCTGTTCTCATCTGATCTCTGAAGGTAACCAGGGGCGGTCCTGCATAGTCGCGTCACCTTCACCTTGCTCCATGTTAGAAACTCCATGATATCGTGTTCCCTGCTCAGGGTAGCACACTGATGCGCATTTATTCAGTATTCTTCGGGGCCACAGTCGTCAGCCAATAAGAGTTAAAACTGGTTGCACAAGAGTGTCAGGTTGACACTGTGCCCGCTGCACGCTACAAGGTCAACGAGTTCCTCACTATTGAGCCCAGACGGACTAGCCACAGACATTCTCTACATTTACAGAATAAATAAGTTTGTGTATTTCCTAAATATTTCGTTCTGCTGTTTTTTTTTGTTTTGCACAAAAGGGAAATGCAATGAGGAGCGTTGTCATGAAGCTTTTCCTCAAGCTGCCTCCACTGAGTGAGCAGCGGCGCCCTCTGCAGTTTGTGTGTGGGAGTGCAAAAGCTTACAGCACCTGGTATTCCCAGGCGGTCTCCCATCCAAGTACTGACCAGGCCCGACCCTGCTTAGCTTCCGAGATCAGACGAGATCGGGCGTGTTCAGGGTGGTATGGCCGTAAGCGAGGAACCCGCTATAAAAGACCTTTTATACTTGGCAAATGTCACGCACTTTAAAATATAGGATTGTACTAAGCTTCACATGTTACAGCGAAAACATGCAAACCTTTGTTGTGAACTGCAGCTTCAACACTGAGCTGCAAAAATGCTTTTCCCGCGGTAACGTCACCATAATAACACATGTTACTTTCTCACAGCACAGTGTTAAAGTGACACAGAGCACACAGTGTGTTAGGTTTGTGGAGTGTTTTGATGGTGACAGATAGCGAACCACTGATCATTCCACTGAGAGATTTGGAGCCAGCGAGGAATAGAGGAGGTTCTGTTGTGTGGGAGTATTTTGAGTTGATTTTTGTCAATCGGGTGGGTTTTCCAGCTTTGTGTTCTGGCTGTTTGCTTTTGTTTTGTGGGTGTTTATTTGATCTGAAAACGGGAAAAAGGTAAAATGTCAAAAATCTGCTTCCATAATATAAATATCATTAAATAACTTTAGAAAAACTTCCACTTGACTCTTTACTTGTAATGTTGTAAAAATATATATATTTTATTGTTTAATTAATCTGAAAATGTTAGTCTGCCAAATGTGCAGCAATTGAATTCATTTATTCTCTTTATCTGATAGTTTGTGGGGCCCAGTTAGACTGTATAACTGCATCTGTGTGAAGGGATGTTCCTTAAGGCACGATAAATTATCTTCACGAAAAGGAACAGGTTCGGCCATCGCACACTAGAACAAATTCTCTTCTTAAATAAAAATGAAAAAGGGCTACTTTTTAATTTGTTTTTAATTTGCAAGTTCATAAGCATTTTCCCTTTCCATTTCACAATCAATTCTACCCCCAGGTCAAAAATATGTCTAGGAAAATTTCCCTAATATAATATTATTTATAAATATACCCGTCTAGCACTTGCACAAGTGCATGGTGGCAGGACCTCACAGCAGAAGCATACTCCATAATGTGTTGTACCTTATTATATGTATATTATATGTAATGTGGTATTTTTCAATTATTGTATTTACCAACATCAAGAAGTCACAAGCAAAGGAAGACCAAACCATGGCGCATGTTTAAACAAGGAGAGTTTACTGATCAAAATTATTTATTAAACAAATAAAACACATTTTTTTAACCACCAAAGAATACACGTTCAAAGCAACACAACAGCGGCCCAATATCAGACAGGATTCCACTCTGTAGAGTGGGCAATCATAATGAAGCAGTTGGTTTTATTTTGTGGATTCAAGCTGCGCTTCATATTTCTGGCCACCAGATGTCACCAGAGAGGACTGTGTTGAAAAGCTTCGAGTAATGAACCGTTTTTCGATACAAGCTTCAGTGCTTCAGAAAACTTCATTTGGCCATCACTAGTCAAAACCTACTGCCAAAACAGACACCAACGTGAAGTCGATGACAAACTGGCGGCAAAGGAGAGTCTGAGTGGACCTTAAAACCTCAACCTTATTACCCAGAATCAGCTTCAGGTGTGCGGGATTGCAGGAGAGATGCTGGCTCCGCCCAGGGGTGCAGACCAAGGAACTCAGGTGCCTGATGAAATTTTTTGTGATGTGTCGGTCGTGAATGAAACGGCTCTTAGAGCCAAGTCTTTGAAGTGAACGAGGCGAGCTGGTTCCTTATTGGGAGCCGTGGATTTTTGTTTTTCTTTCTCTCACCCTCTCTCTCGCACTTTTTTTCCGCTTCACTCCGCACGCATGCGAGCCTTGTGCTTTGCGCTGGGAAGAGGTGGGAGGGGCAGTAGTTACATTAGCAGTAGCACAGGAACAGAGCTGGAGGGAGAGACAGAGAAAGAGAGCCAGGGACAACAACGTCACATTAGAAAGGTATAGTAATCATCCACAACTATTTTCGGTTGCGGATGATAAAGGATTCAGAAAGTTTATTCATGCAGGCCTATATGACAGAGAATATGCATGTTCTTTTAGTTTTCATATTTTAATTTATATTTAATTGTGTTGTGGTTTGCAATGTTTTGTGTTGTTTCACTTTAAATTTGTTTAAAAGGAAAAAGCTGAAAATTAAATAGTTAAAAGTTGAAATGTAAATAGCTGGTTATTGTATCATATGATTTATTTATTACATTTTATGTGGAGTGAATAAATAAAACTATATTTACGGTGGCCCCTACAGACAAAGCACGTAAAAACTCCAAAACAGTTAAAAACTCCGAAGTACGTACAAAACACAACAGAAGTGCTCCAGGATGCTAGGCGCAGTGTTGTGTGGTAGTGTGTGGTAGTAACAGGTAAATGAACATTTTTTAAATTATTTGAATATATATGAGTGCTTGTGTATAAATTCACAAACAATACACCTATGCTTTCAATTGTGTAATTTAAGTGATCTAGGTAGCTCTGTTTTGGAAGTTCAGTTAAAGCTAGAAATGTGTTTTGGAGTTTGTATGTGCTTTGTCTCAAGGGGCCACCGCATATATTTATATATAAACATATATAAATAAAACCACAGGGTTTTTTTTACATTAGTAATTCCTTTTGTGCATAATTTTATGTTGTTGTTAATAATAAATTAATTAAAGCAACAAAACAACCTCAAGAGGTTTTCCTCTTGAGGTTGAGCACAGGTTTGGGAGCCGAAAGAGCCAGTTCTCTAAAAAGAGCCGGAAATCCCATCACTAGAAATTTTCCAGTCATACATCCAGATCATGACACCCTTCAGTTGTGGTGTTGGGTTGGGTGCTACTGTTATATTGTAACACTAAAATTTAGGACTACAACAGAAACAGCAGCACAGAATTAAACTTGTTAAACTCTGGCTCAGAGTGTTAATAAGCCTGAAGTGCTTCGGGATGTTCAGTGAATAGGGGATAATAATGAGTAACGTGCTGTAAAGTTCTCAAATTGGCAGCTTATTAAAGACTCGGAGTGACGTTATTTAAATTTTACGTTCAACAAGGATGAGACCGAAAGCCTCAAATTAAAATACTATTGCAGCATGTCAGTACAGCCAGCCAAAAAAAGCAAACTAGTCTGATTTAAATCGAACCTCTGACTCCGTTTTGACAACAGAAAGAAGCAGCTGACTGTCAGTCTGCCTAAATTTTCGTATGTCAGGAGACATCAGCGCTCGATCTTTCCAGGCTAGAGTCAGCTTGTGTTGGAGAACGTGTTGTTGTACGATGTTGCTTAATGTCCCAAAGGACAGATGCAACAAGCTTTTAGCGATAGTTACTAAAATGGACGAAGAAAAACAAAAAAACAGAGATGGGTGCCCCAGCCAAAATGTAAACGAGAAGCAGACCGCGAACCAACCACACAATAAGTCATCAGTTTCAGGCTATCCACGCAAATCTAGTTCTGAGAAACTAAACTAAGCAACTAGACAGGAAACTGCAAGAGGAAGTTTCCGGGTAAGTCTGCGAAGCACGAGTGATAGCGCGTGTGTGTGTGTGCGCGTGTGTGTGAAAGAGAGAGAGAGATGGGAGGGAGAGACTCAGACCTGTGGCAGAGGAAAGAGAAAAACCCTGAGATGACGCAGTCTCTGTGCGCGTGATGTCTGATAATGGGCCCCAGCTGACTGAAATATTCCAGTATTGTCAGCCAACGAAAAAAAATGCAAGTCTGCAACTTAAGTGGAAAATTAAAGTCAGCTCTAAGAGTAGGATCTGGGGCTGGATTTAGTAACGGTTTGCGAAACTTAGAATAACGTCTGAATTAGTGATGCGCGAATCATGAACAAATCGTTCAATATTCGAGAATCACTTTACTAACTCATGAATCATGATTCACAAGCCCAACTGACTCAGTGACTCATCCCTGTTGCTGTTAGCAGCAATGTATCTAGCTTATAATTAAAATTGTGGAGAAAAACACAACATCCAGTATTGTAACAAAAAAATTTCTGCTCTTAAATGGAAGAAAAAAAACCTGAGTAGAAGCTCACATCAAGAAAATAGCTCCTCGGTTCACAGTAGCATTGCTCTGCTAACATGCTAACAGCACATTTGAGCTACTCACCCCCTCCTTCCTGTGCTGAATCAAATTCATGGGCTGCATCCTCCTGAGGACCCGGCCTTCGCGGTCTACGTGGGCCGGGTCCTCAGAAGGTCGGGTAGGCCGGAAGTAAACGGCCGTGAAATTGGACGGTCTAGCCTTCTGATTAGCGTCACTGCTGTCTCGGTGGAGTTTAATAAACTCAGCCATCTGCTCCTTGCTATCTAAAATATAACAGGACACTGGCGTAAATTCTCGACTGTCTCATACTTCTGTTTAATCAGTTTTCTGTTTGACGTTTAGTCAGCTGTGTAAAAACCAAGGAGGAACCCACCCGGGGGATTAATAAAGTTTTATTTTATCTAATCTAATAACTTTAATCTCAGCCAAACCGATTTACTGACGAACAAACAAAACACTGAAAAAAGCCCAACAATAACATTTTTAGGTTGTCTAAGTCACTTATATATCACGTTTAACCCGAGCAGCGAAAGTCCACGGTGATCTGAAAATGATGTGCCGGGAGTTGTGCCGTTCTCGGCCGCATCAGTAACCCTCGAGCTCCCGGCGAGCTGTCGAGCTGGTGGGTAGCAGATGCCTCCGAAAACGTCGAAGCACTTTTGCAAATATGCGATATCTTGATAAACCGAGCAGATATTTGATGTTTACACAACTACTTTCTCGCCTGAAAATATGTTAAAAGTTTATTTTGTGACCCAGAAAGATTAGTATGAGTAATTTTAAAACTTAGTAGCGGCCGCCATTGTTGGAAACTGGAGTTTGGCTGGGCCGCACTATGAATTCTGGGATATGGTAGGCCACGAAGGACACACCCGACCCATCCTTCAAATTCGGGGAAAAGGAGGACGCATTTGTTGGCTGCATTCGGAGGAGTCTACGAATTTGGACAGCCTTCGGTGCGTCGCTATGCCGTAATCGGTCTACAAATGCGGCCTCAGGAGGATGCAGCCCATGAATTTGGACACGACCATAGAGCGAACGAATCACTCACTCACTCACCCCCTCCCTCTTGGCTCACAGCTTCTTCTTCTTCTTGGTTGGCAACGAATGTTAAGGCGCATTACTGCCCCCTGGCTCACAGCTCAGTGGACATTTAGATGAGAAAATATATATTTAACACATTTAAGGAAAATACTAATAAAATAAAAATAAAACAAAATAAAATAAAAATAAATAAATGTTTATTAAGCAATTTTGATAGGAAATTGCTTAATTTTAGAAATGTTTTTGCTCTTTTTTGCTCTATATAATAGTTGTTTTCTTTTAGAATCATTCATCTTAGCAGTAGGATTTACATGAAAAGAGAAACAAATTAAGTTTGAGTGAAAATGTACATTTTTTGCACTCTTTGGTCAACTGACTCAGTGAATCAAATGACTCAAAAACCCGATTCACTTTGGTGAGTGACTCATTAAAACTCAATTCAGTAAAAAGAATCAAATTTACCATCACTATCCTGATCATTTATAATAAAGAACTAAATCTGTACATAATTCCTGTAGATTTTGTATTTAGTCTTGAGAAACAGCCTCAGTGGTGAGCAGTTCAGTGACAGAAGGACGTCCTATCTCGGGAGACAACGAGACAGGAGAACGTTGAGCACAGGATAGCGGAGTTCGGAGCCTTGCCCCTGCGGGGATTTTATTGTTGTTTTCATGTGAAATAATTTATTTTTTAGAAACTTAGTTTTTAAATTCTCTATTGCCTTGAATCCTCCACTGATCTTCCGGTTTTAGAAGGGGTTTTTCTTCACAGAGAACACCTCGTGACAATCCCAAGGCGTTGTAGGCATGTCATGATTTGAACTTTATTCTCAACATCAATTTTTTTTTCTTCTTAATTTGCCCCTAATAATACATCGGAACGTTCACTACAGACTGAATATGGGTTATTTTTATCTACCTGGGATAAATAAACTTGCTGCTGTGGTGAAATAAAGTTTCTAAAAAATGAGTCAACACTACACGTGAGCAAAAACAACACAGAAAAATTCCACAACTGCGTGGAATCCCCCCCACCTCATATGTAAGAACCACTTAATGTAATTTTCTTTTTATGTCTTTAAAATACCAAACGCACACTATAGAAACAGCTCGTGTTACTCTCTTTACAGCATGGCGGATGGTGCAATTGTATATTTGCTTTCTCTTCTAATGGTCTGTTCTGAAGGTAAGCTGTGTTCACTATTCTCCGTTTTGTTTTTAAAGCTGTTTTGTGGATGGGTGAAGAAAAAACGTTTCACTCGTAATTATTAGAAACTGATCTCAAAGAGGTCACAAGTATGATTTTTGTTTTTCATCTGAAGCCATGAGAGATTCTATACGAACAGTGGAGACATTAGATTTTATTTCTGTGAATATGGATTATTTTCATTAAGCGTTTACTGCAGCTGATGCTCCACACGGAAGAAAAAACTGTTCTTAATACTGGTTTAATGAACATGTTTGTTAATTAATTTTCTCTTCCCATATTTTTTTTTAACTCTACAACATTATCACTGGAGTATACCCAATACACCATTCTAGTATTCATTAAAATCTTCAGCAGTCAGGAGATGTTTGGTACAGTATGAGTATTGTTCATTTTGTAAAAACATAATGTTTAATTGATTCCCACTTTTTATGTTAGATAACAAAATATGAGATAGGCCATTTTCATACTACAACTAAGAATTACTATTATCATTATTTTTTCCCTGTCCTGTCCAGAACTGTAGTAATCAGAATTACTGTCTGAAAGCCAAGAAAAATGGCCAACAGATTTATTTTCCCAAGTGGACCTTATGCTGTACTGGTCCACTTGATTGTTTACACTGTAAAAAAAAAAAACAGTACAATCTACTGTATAAACGTGAAGGAATTTTCCGTATTAGTCATTTACAGGTATTTTTCTGTATGTCTCAACTACTGCAATGCATTGTGGGGAAAAAGAACCCGAAAAGGAGTGAAAAGTAAGTGCAAGAGCCTTAAAATCTCTGTGGTAAGTATTAAAACTCATGTTTTCTTTTATTAAAATAATGTTTTTCAAAAGACCACGTATTTTTATTTAGAAAGAATTGTTAATTTATTTGTTAACTGGTTTCGGCTGTCTCCAGACAAGTCAGGAATATTTTGCTGACTCATTTTTTAAATAATCGTTAGTTAGGTTTAACATGACTTAAGCTTTCCATTTTAATTAATGTTAAAAATAATTTTTACTGTGATACCACCGGTTTTGTCCTTCAGTGGCTGAACCAGTTTTCATAAATATTATAGTTAGCTGTCTGTGTCTCTCTGGGTATTACTAATGTTAGCCTCTGATTTGGGCTGCTAAAGTAAAGACTTTTAGCTAGCTGACCAGCATAGATTATTTCGGTTAGCAGGCTGTAGTGGTAATATTAATGAAAGTATAGTTTCACCTCAGCACATTTACAATTATGTCTATTTTGTAGCACATAGAAATGTTTAGTTAATATTTACAGACAGACACATTTTCCCTGTAACTGTGTTTTTACTCCAACATTTGTTGAAAATGTAATTTATGAAATGTTGAGCAGCATTTCTAGTATGTGGAATATTTTTGTTACCCACTGTGCTAATGTGATTAAATACTAATAATTATTACTAAAAGAATTCAATAATAAATCAATAATAACTATTTATTGATTGAACTATAATGTAAGCGCAGTGCTGGTGTGCAGGGGCTCTATATGCCTTGTGGGGGATCCTGACATATTATAAACTGTTGTGTCTATATCAAGCTTTTAGCCAAATATAAGCAGAGATATTTGTATCTTTCTTAAAAATCCATATCCTTACAGATTATTTGAGAAATGGATCAACAGCTATCACTACTTGAAGCACTCTAAGTCCTGCAGTGGAAAAATATCCCTTATTTCACCTTTGATCACACACTTTGGTTTTCCAGTGCAGAGCAATGGCCAAGAAAAGGAAAGACTTCCCCGTGTGAAAAAAAAGACGAAGATACAAGCTGGTGATGATCCAGAGCAGCTGGTCTCAGGAAATGAAGAAAAACCCTGATCACCTTCTCTACAGAAACAAGGTGAGTTTAATGTTGTGGTTGATTTAGTTTTTCAAGGTATGTATGTTACTTTAATTATAAACTGCTTTTGTTGCAACAGAATGGTGTTATGTGTATGCAACTCTACATGAATTATAATCCTTTGTAGGGCTGCGTGATATGACCAAAATCTCACATCCCAATATAAGACGTATCTCTCCTGATAACGATATATATCACAAAATAGTGCATTTTCTGTAAATTCTGTGATTCTCGGGCAACTCGACTTATGTGAAGTGTTTTCAGCTGGGGTCCTGTTTCGACCTGGAGTCGAGTGTTTTGATCAATGCGTGAAACTATACATTTTTAGACATGAGTTTAAACGGCCGCCATTTTCTTTCTGAGTATTTATTACACGGCGTGCTGCGAGGAAAAGCCTGTTCTAACGTTTGAGTCTAAGGATTATTTTGAGCACCTGACGACTCTTTTTTGCTTTTCATTCGTAAACTCTCTCGAAACTCTTTCATGTGATTCTTGTGTAGGTGGTTAAAGAGGTTTGTCGTGTTCGAGTGGTGGTGGGGACCAGTTTGTGGCATAATTTGCATAGTACAGTTTTCTGGGGCGTGTCAGACTTTTCATAACCAAACCATGTCCATGCTACAGAGGTAGCCTCTCGTTTAACAATAAGGTCCTCGATTTGTTTTGACTGGTCCTTCTGTTTGGAGCTAGCTGGTTCTGCCTCATCCTTGCTGGCCATGCTGGTATTCTCTGTGCCTTCATCTGCGTGGTGACTGTAAGCGCCATTTATAGTTACTTGATGTTTTTATTTGAGGTCATTTGTTTGATGCATATTCTGAAATTTTATGTTTGAGAATAATGTATATCATTTCAGTTTATTTTGAAAAGTCTCAACAGAAACTTGAGCTTTATTGTGAAAGGTTTATGTGGAAAATAAACAAGCGGACGGCGGAGCCACACGATAGTTTTACCGTCATTGTTGGTAACGAAAGTACGCGTAAAAACAGTCACGTGTCCGTCCATAGTGTGGTTATTGTATAGTATAAGTATAAGAGAAGGAGAGAACTTTAAGAAATAATATAGCAACTACAGTGACCATCAAAACCATGAAAAAAATATTGCCGTAAACAGTTTATTTTGCAACAGCACAAAACAAACAATAGTGTATAATATGAAACGATAGAAATTTTTATATCGTCATCTGATATATATCGTCATATCGCACAGCCCTAATCCTTTTTTTGTTTCTGTTGTTTATGTTCAAAGTAAAAAAATTATAAAAATACAAACTTTTTAAAAATGTGTTGTGGTTTCTCTTTTTTTCCTCAGAATAAATTGCGACTAGTCTCAATGGCTGAGCCTGAGATTTATTTAAAGCTCAGATGGACCTTGATGGACTAACATGCAGGCTGCATTCAGGACTTTGTCACACTGGTATATGAAGAGTGGTAACAAGAGAAATTGTGCACTCACAACGTGTCACTTTATGCTTGCTCTTCTCCAGCCTCTCGTGTCACTTTGTAGTAATTTGTCTTACTATTGTCTTATTTGTTGTGATTTAGGGTCTGTGCGCACAAGCAGAGGTTTTTGTTTGTAACCGTAACCTCGTTTTCAGAGCCTTGTCTAACATTTAATGGCCGTGAAATATGTCAGACTTTTTCCTCTACTTAACCAGCTAAGAGCATTTGAACCCCGTGGAGAGAAAGATGTGAAAGATTAAGGATTTTGAACTATGATGTAAGTGTTGTCACTGCTGAGGATTCGTGGACACAGATCCTTATTCACTACGCTGCTACAGTTTAACTTTTCATCAGAACAAGCACTTCTAATTGTACTTTGCTCTTCACTGACAAAACAAGTCCAGTAAATGAACTTTTGTCTTTAAGTTTGGGACAGTAATCTGTCTTAATTTATTTTGTGTTTTAGTTATCATATGGGGAAAAGTTCTGTGGTTATCCATCCGTCCTGTTCGAATAAACCCAAAGTTCAGGAACATCTTCTTTAGATCTGTTCAGTTTTAATCATGTGGCACCACTTAAACAGTCAAGTATGTTATATTGTAAGGTAAAGACCCCAAAGAGTTAATCTCAGACAAATGTTCAGACAAATGTGAATTACATTCACTTCATTAATGAAGTGAACGTAATTCAGTAATCAAAGGTGTTTGGCTATAACTGACTACATGTGTATACTGTACCATAAGTGGACAGACATGGATGTAAACCACACCTTAACCATTTGGCTGAGGCAAACCTACCACAAGGCAGTGATTCTAACTCAAAGGTACTCTGGATCTTATTAAATGTGAACATATCGTTAAATATGACATTTTTTGTTTGTCAGGTGTCCTGTTTGAATTTAACACCTGGGAGCTCCTTGAATGAATGTAAATAAACACATTTACATGAGGGCAACCTGATTTCAAGGAAATAAAAATGCTCAAATTTGAAAGCTTGTGAGTTATTTTGTTCATGTATCAGCTGTTTAGTCGTTTTATGACAAGATGGATGCTGTCGTTATATTTTAGTATAGTTTTAGAGTTGAGGAGAATAAAAGAATATTTAACATTAATTGTACCAATGCTGTTGTGTACGAAGCACAAATTAATTAAAAAAAACCCTATGAAGCAAGCATGAAGGAGAACCGGGCCCCAGACTTCTAGAGGACCACTGAAGGGGCAACGTTTTTAACCTTTGACACAGCTGAGCGGCCGTGTGTTTAAGGAACGGACTCAAAAGCAGGCGCAGGAGAAATGTGCTGAAGTTTAACCAAAAGTGAGCCTTTATTGTGGCTGACACAAAAAACAGAAAACCAGGCAAGATGACATTAGGGCGAAACAAAACTAAAACCTAAACTGGGAAAAACTAAAACTATCTATGAAGATGATGACAACGGACATGGACATGAAACTGGACAGGAACATGCAACCAACATAACTATGAAATAATCCAAACAAAGGTAACGAGGGAAGTGGAGACACGGCTGATACAAATGAACATTACGCCACAAGGGGAAGTAAAACAAAACACACTGAACATGGAAACACTGGACTCCTCGAAATAAAGCAGGAAAGCTGGAGAGACTGGACACGAGAAGACAAGCTTGATAACCTGAAACACGCAGACAAGAAACACATGAAAGACTGACACAAAATACAGAAAAAGACAAACACGGGGACATAGATAAAACCTAAACTAGACTGAAACTCAACTAACTCCTTACTAATAATAACCAAACAAGAAGTAAACAGACTTCCAATATAACATAAGAAATCGAAAATACACTCAAAACGTGATTATGAAAAACTTTACAGTGAGATGCCTACAGGTTTTATTGCAGCTGATAAGTAGCAGACACACACTTGGTGCTCATGCCTCACATGTCTGTTTGTGCAGCTCTAACAGCAGTGGTCCAAACACAGCAGACTGTGCTGGCAGCAGTGGGAGAAGATGCTGAATTCAGCTGTCAGCTCTTAGAGACTAAAGACGTCCTTCAGGTCACATGGCAGAAAATCTCACGTGATGTGGAGACAAATGTTGCCACCTACAACAAGTACTTTGGTCAGAGAGTGAATGATGGCTTTACAGATAAAGTCAAGTTTAAATACACTGGACTACAGAACTGCTCCATAGTCATCAGGAATGTAACAGAGCAGGATGAAGGATGCTATCGCTGTCTGTTTAACACTTATCCTGAAGGAGCCTTCACAGGTAGAACCTGCCTCCGAGTTTATGGTAAGAAATTTTACCTTCTTTAACCAACAAGAGGAGACTAAAAATAATATAGTGATGTGATGATATCTCCTGATCCTTCACAGAGCTGCATGAACCTGTTGTTGATGTCAGAGAGTCAAACTCTACTGAAGAGTGGGTTGTTTCCTGTTCAGCCACTGGTCGACCTGCTCCCACTGTAACACTGAGTGTCTCACAACAAGACCTCAGCTTCTCACATTACAACACTGTCAGTGTGTCCAACACCAACGCTACATTCACTGTCACCACTACAGCTGTGCTCTCAGGTTCATGTAACAACAGCACACAGGTGGGATGTGCAGCACGAGTGCTCTCTGCTCCTCACAGAGAGGTGATGGTGACGATTCCTGATGATGGTAGTGGTGATGGTGATGGTGATGATGATGATGATGATGGTGAGAAACTCTTTTAAAGTCACTGATTTATAATTGATGATTACACTGTGATTGTAATGTTTCCTTTTTTTTCCAGGTCTAGATGAAGACTTTGGATCTAAACGCAGAAATTTAGGTGAATTCACATTTGTATGTTTTTGAGTTCAGTTTTTTTCCATCTTTTTTTATTTTATGTTTGAATTAATTTTTCCTTCTTTCCTCTGTTTTCTCAAAAGCAATCAGGATTTCTGTCATTCTGTCCTCTGTGTTGCTGGTTGCCTTTAGTTGTGTTGCTGCACTCATCTTTGTCCATCATAGAACAAAATCTCACAACAGGTAATCCTATTAAAACGTGTCTGTGTTGCATTTTCTCCTGATACAGGGAGTGCAGAATTATTAGGCAAATGAGTATTTTGTCCACATCATCCTCTTCATGCATGTTGTCTTACTCCAAGCTGTATAGGCTCGAAAGCCTACTACCAATTAAGCATATTAGGTGATGTGCATCTCTGTAATGAGAAGGGGTGTGGTCTAATGACATCAACACCCTATATCAGGTGTGCATAATTATTAGGCAACGTCCTTTCCTTTGGCAAAACGGGTCAAAAGAAGGACTTGACAGGCTCAGAAAAGTCAAAAATAGTGAGATATCTTGCAGAGGGATGCAGCAGTCTCAAAATTGCAAAGCTTCTGAAGCGTGATCATCGAACAATCAAGCGTTTCATTCAAAATAGTCAACAGGGTCGCAAGAAGCGTGTGGAAAAACCAAGGTGCAAAATAACTGCCCATGAACTGGGAAAAGTCAAGCGTGCAGCTCCCAAGATGCCACTTGCCACCAGTTTGGCCATATTTCAGAGCTGCAACATCACTGGAGTGCCCAAAAGCACAAGGTGGGCAATACTCAGAGACATGGCCAAGGTAAGAAAGGCTGAAAGACGACCACCACTGAACAAGACACACAAGCTGAAACGTCAAGACTGGGCCAAGAAATATCTCAAGACTGGTTTTTCTAAGGTTTTATGGACTGATGAAATGAGAGTGAGTCTTGATGGGCCAGATGGATGGGCCCGTGGCTGGATTGGTAAAGGGCAGAGAGCTCCAGTCCGACTCAGACGCCAGCAAGGTGGAGGTGGAGTACTGGTTTGGGCTGGTATCATCAAAGATGAGCTTGTGGGGCCTTTTCGGGTTGAGGATGGAGTCAAGCTCAGCTCCCAGTCCTACTGCCAGTTTCTGGAAGACACCTTCTTCAAGCAGTGGTACAGGAAGAAGTCTGCATCCTTCAAGAAAAACATGATTTTCATGCAGGACAATGCTCCATCACACGCGTCCAAGTACTCCACAGCGTGGCTGGCAAGAAAGGGTATAAAAGAAGAAAAACTAATGACATGGCCTCCTTGTTCACCTGATCTGAACCCCATTGAGAACCTGTGGTCCATCATCAAATGTGAGATTTACAAGGAGGCAAAACAGTACACCTCTCTGAACAGTGTCTGGGAGGCTGTGGTTGCTGCTGCACGCAATGTTGATGGTGAACAGATCAAAACACTGACAGAATCCATGGATGGCAGGCTTTTGAGTGTCCTTGCAAAGAAAGGTGGCTATATTGGTCGCTGATTTGTTTTTGTTTTGTTTTTGAATGTCAGAAATGTATATTTATGAATGTGGAGATGTTATATTGGTTTCACTGGTAAAAATAAATAATTGAAATGGGTATATATTTGTTTTTTGTTAAGTTGCCTAATAATTATGCACAGTAATAGTCACCTGCACACACAGATATCCCCCTAAAATAGCTAAAACTAAAAACAAACTAAAAACTACTTCCAAAAACATTCAGCTTTGATATTAATGAGTTTTTTGGGTTCATTGAGAACATGGTTGTTGTTCAATAATAACATTATTCCTCAAAAATACAACGTGCCTAATAATTCTGCACTCCCTGTAAATGTTTCTGCAGCTTTAACTGTTTTAAAATTTTTCCGTTTTTCACACAGGAATCTCAAGATAAATAAGACATCTGAAACTAAGATCAGAGACAGTCAGGAGTAAGTCACTCTTTATACTGTTTTTCTGCACTGTTGACATTTTTTAGTCTTCCTTCGGGCTCTTTTTTATTTTCATTTTTCATTTCTTCTAATAAGTGTCCATAGTCCTCTGTTATCATTTTCATTTCAAGCCTAATCTAACACTAACCACAAACACTTAAACAATTTGCTCACTTTCCTCTGTCCAGGCTATTTCTCAGAGTACTTTAATCATGTGATCAAATAAAACTATTTCTTATTTTCATTGAAGGACTGAAGCATCTTTATTCACAGCAGAGGGCAGCGAGGTCAGAAACGAAGGAGCGTTTGAGAGAAATCACCAAGACAACAACCTGATGTTCTCATCAGAAGCAGCAGGAAGACTGAATTTTGAGCAGTGCTGAACAAATGTATTGTTGATGTGACTGGAGATTAAAAACATCTTTGTGTTATAAACCACTGATGTGATTATGTTAATAGTTTACCGACAGGTTATTATTATTATTCAGTTATCATTGATGCTGATATATCATTAATGATGCATTGTGTCACTTTACATGTATGAAATGAAGATTTAAGTATTGTTTCAAGTTGCCATTTAGGTGCAGATATGATGCAGCGGGTGGAGTTCAACATCAGCGTGTGACGGCTGAAATAGTTTAGGATCATCAACCTACAGCTGACTTGCAAATAAATGTGACCAACAGCTAAAGACAGAGAGAGAGAAACCACGCGTCTAGTTCATGCATTGGTGTTTAGACTCCGATGGTCCAGCGCAGCAGAACACAATCACAGCTGTGATAGCGATTAGGGAAGGACCCCCAGAGTATAGATGCTGGTGGTGGAGATGAAGATGGAGGCTTGAATGGCGCCTGACAGAGATGAGTGAAAGGTGGTGGAGATGGGGAGGAGGCGGGTTGTACGAAGGCATCTGAAAAGAAGAATCACAGATGTGCAGTGAGATTTTAAGTACATGGAGTGAAGGCTGATTGGCCTAAAGAAGGAGGGCTGAGTGCTGATTGGACTAGACCCGTGATGTCACAACCAGCTGGACAAGCATGGGAAAGTGGAAGTGATGTAAAACTTACATTAGCTGCCAAACACCTGGGAAGCAGACAGACGTGTGACTACAGAGCTTCCTTAGTGAACTTGCGCATAAGCCTCATGATGGTCACATGAAAACCACCAAGCTTAATGTTTTTAGCTGATTTGTTAGAGTGTGTGTGTGTGTGTGTGTGTGTGTGTGTGTGTGTGTGTGTGTGTGTGTGTGTGTGTGTGTGTGTGTGAGAGAGAGAGAGAAAGAGTTACAGATCCAATGTTAAATCTTAAACCTTTTGTTGGATGATAAATAATGTCTTTTCATATTTTGCTAATCACATGCCTCATTCCAGGAGGGATGTTTGCTGTAACTTTGTCCTCGCACACTGACAGTAAAGCTGTCCTGTCTTAAATTGCTTGTTGGGACATGTTTGTTTGTTTGTTTGTTTTATTGTGTGGATTCTTCTTATCAATGTTTGAAGCATTTTCCAACTGTATTTAAAATACGTAATTATTTCATTAATATAATAATAATATATTTCACGTCATCTGCTTTTTGCGGATGATGTGGTTCTGTTGGCTTCATCGGGTGAGGGCCTCCAGCTCGCACTGGAACGGTTCGCAGCCGAGTGTGAAGCAGCAGGAATGAGGATCAGCACCTCCAAATCTGAGGCCATGGTTCTCAGCCGGAAAAGGGTGGAGTGCCCACTCCGGGTCGGGGATGAGTTCCTGCCCCAAGTGGAGGAGTTCAAGTATCTCGGGTCTTGTTCACGAGTGATGGGAGAAGGGAGCCGGAGATCGACAGACGGATTGGGGCTGCAGCTGCAGTAATGCGGACGCTGCACCGGTCCGTCGTGGTGAAGAGGGAGCTGAGTGTAAAAGCGAAGCTCTCAATTTACCGGTCGATCTACGTCCCTACCCTCACCTATGGCCACGAGCTGTGGGTAGTGACCGAAAGAACGAGATCGCAGATACAAGCGGCGGAAATGAGCTTTCTCCGAAGGGTGGCTGGCCTCTCCCTTAGAGATAGGGTGAGAAGTTCGGCCATCCGGGAGGGGCTCAGAGTAGAGCAGCTGCTGCTCCACATCGAAAGGAATCAGGTGAGGTGGTTCGGGCATCTGACAAGGATGCCTCCTGGGCGCCTCCTGGGTGAGGTGTTCCAGGCATGTCCCACCGGGAGGAGGCCCCGGGGCAGACCCAGGACACGCTGGAGAGATTATATCTCTCGGCTGGCCTGGGAACACCTTGGTATTCCCCCGGATAAGCTGGAGGAGGTGGCTGGGGAGAGGGAGGTCTGGGCCTCTCTGCTTAGGCTGCTGGCCCCGTGACCCGGCCTCGGATAAAGCGGATGAAGATGGATGGATGGATGGATGGATATTTCACGTATTTCAAGGCAATGGCCACACAACAACAGCATGTAACAGTCATAAATGGATATCCATCCATCCGTTCGCTTCCGCTTATCATTTTCAGGGTCACGGGGGGCGCTGGAGCTTATCCCAGCTGTCATAGGGCAAGAGGCAGGGTACACCCTGGACAGTTCGCCAGTCTGTCGTAGGGCTAAATGGATAATTTAGTGATATTAGTCCATCTTACAGGAGGAACTGGAACAGCAGATTTTTGTGACTTCAGACTTGAACATTTCCTCTCCTTTAATATAGTGAAAGCAACATGTTTCATCTACATACATGTGCTGCAATCAGAGGACTCTTATGCATTAGAGTGATAAAAACTACAAGCTGAGCGTTAATGAAGAAATGAAACTGTGGCGTCTCCCCAGGGATGAAACAAGATACACAGAAGATTTTACAATCTGTGTGTCATTCTGCAGACCCTCGATCCTCCAACTATCTAATGAAGGTAATGCGCTGTGACAGAGTTACAAAATGAGAATATTATCTCTGACAAACCACCGATGGCATTCATTGACACGGACACTGTCCATTAATCTCTCCCTTAATTAAAAATTGCATTTTGATTTACATTAATACATTTCATCTTCTCAGGCTTTAAAACCAGGTTTGTCATTTGAGAGTCAGAGTGTGTGCAGTTCAGATAAAACCAGTTCATACCTGATGGGATGAATACTTTATTTGAATTTTTTTCCATGCATTCCTGTTAAAAACTTATTTACTGAGGTTTTACTTTACTTTACTTTATTTATATAGCACATATAATAACAACAAAATGTTGACCTGTACAAAGAAGGGAAAAAGTTTACACAGTAACAAATAACATAAACAACAAATACCTGATAAAAGATGATTAGGTGGACAGACAGGTAACTCTCATGTGGTGTCGAAAACCAGTGAGAATAAATGTGTTTTAAGATGGGATTTGAAAAGACTGATGGTCGGGCCCTTTCTAATGTGGAGAGGTAAATCATTCCACATTTTCGTTGCCACAAACACAAATTCCCAGTAACCTCTGTGGACCAGCCTCGACTTAAAAGTGGCCAAGAGCGAGAGATCACTTGATCTTAGATCTCTAGGGGGTATATATGGCTGCAGTAAGTCAGACAGATGTTCTGGAGCCTGACTGTTCAGTGCTTTGTAAGTCAACAACAAAATGTTGTATTTAATTCTAAAGCGGCCTGGGAGCCAGTGAAGTGAGGCGAGCACTGGGGAAATATGCTCGTGTCTCTTTGAACGTGTCAGGAGACGAGCTGCAGCATTCTGGACCAGCTGGAGCCGTGCTAGACAAGACTGGCTAACAGCTGCATATAGAGAATTACAGTAGTCCAGTTGAGATAAGATAAAAGCGTGAATTGCTCGTTCTAGGTTTTTAAAAGATAAAAAGGATTTCACCTTGGATAAGAGCCTCAATTTAAAAAAAAGGACGACTGCACAACAGAGTCAATTTGTTTCTCAAAGGTAAACTTACTATCTCGTATAACCCCCAAATTTTTTGCATGCAGTTTAACAAAAGGTGCTAAACTGCGCAGGTCAAGATCCGTGGTACTAGAATTGCAGCTTGGTCCAAAGATGATCACAAGATGATCACGAGAAATTTGAGGCCATCCAGATCTTAACTTCGCAGAGACACTGAAATAAGGATTCCAGTGAAGCGGAGGTGATGTTATTTGTAATCTTGTCTTGAGGATCTGATTCAGATGAGGAATGCGAGAAATGCAAATAGCAACGTTTTCACTTCCACTTTTTTGTGGCCGTTGTAATTTGAAACTTCATACTTAACTTTTTTTTTACAGAAGCCCTGAGAAAAAGCAGAAAGAAAACCATGAAAACAGAAGTATCTTCTTTAATTGAAGTTGTGTTTTTAAAACTTGCCAGTCATTGTGTTGTATGTCTGCACAGAATTCTGTGTAGTACATGCATATATTTATTCAATACAAACCTGACATCTTTTTATATCCACAGAGCTCTCGGGTTCATCTCAAACTTTGACACTTTATAACAGCAATGACATATTGTGTGCTTGTCTATCTACTTTTTGTCTGTGGAGTCCTTCCAAAAGGTAGGAAACAGTAACCAGTGTTTCTCTTTGATGCTGATTGTTTTTTTTATCATGTTAATGTTTGACTTCATTTCAGGATAAGGATAAAAAGATAAGCTAAGAAAAGCTGCTTCTTTCACTGACTAATATTTCCTCATTCTCACATCTAACCGTTCATTTATTTTCTCCATGCAGCTCTAACAGCAGTGATCCAAACACAGCAGACTGTGCTGGCAGCAGTGGGAGAAGATGCTGAAGTCAGCTGTCAGCTCTTGGACACTAAAGACGTCCTTCAGGTCACATGGCAGAAAATCTCACGTGATGTGGAGACAAATGTTGCCACGTACAGCAAGTACTATGGTCAGAGAGTGAATGATGGCTTTAACGATAAAGTCAAGTTTAAATACACTGGACTACAGAACTGCTCCATAGTCATCAGGAATGTGACGGAGCAGGATAAAGGATGCTATCACTGTCTGTTTATCACTCACCCTGAAGGCTCCTTCACTGGTAGAACCTGCCTCCAAGTCTATGGTAAGAACTTTTACTTTCTTCAAGCAGATTAGACTCAATCAAATAAAGCTACTATGAAATGCGTCAGAAGCTGGTTTCTTCTTGACAATGTAGTCTTCGCAATATCTCCTGATCCTTCACAGAGCTGCATGAACCTGTTGTTGATGTCAGAGAGTCAAACTCTACTGAAGAGTGGGTTGTTTCCTGTTCAGCCACTGGTCGACCTGCTCCCACTGTAACACTGAGTGTCTCACAACAAGACCTCAGCTTCTCACATTACAACACTGTCAGTGTGTCCAACACCAACGCTACATTCACTGTCACCACTACAGCTGTGCTCTCAGGTTCATGTAAACACAGCACACAGGTGGGATGTGCAGCACGAGTGCTCTCTGCTCCTCACAGAGAGGTGATGGTGATGATTCCTGAGGTCCAGCAGGTGTTTGCTGCTGCTACTGCTGATTATAATGGTGAGAAACTCTTTCAAAGTCACAGATTTATAAAGTGATGATATCTGAGTGAATTTGCATCTAATAACAATGACTTCAATAGGCCTACATTTCCCTGTGATCTATAATTGATGTATTAGCGTTGTCCATTGTAACATTGTTCCTGCTTTTCTCACAGTTTCCACCTCAGTGATTGTAATAGCTACAATAGCAGGACTGACAGTTTTTGCTTTAGTAGCTGCTCTCATCGCACTCCTGCTTGAAGAAAAAGTGGTAACGTTTTTCTTCTGACTTAATATATGCCTTTTATGTGGCTCTTCCTATTAAAAGAATTATATGAATTGACTCCAAGAGTCTACATCCACATATATCCAGTAATATCTGTAAATATCTGCAGCGCTGACTTTAAACTGTTTAAATCCGCAGGTCTCCAAATCCAGGACCTCAGTCCTTTAGAGCAGCTGTGAGATGTACTGGAACAGGAGATTGTCATTCTTTGTGTGGAGCAGACAAATCTTCAGCAACCGTGTGATGCTATCAGCTATCATTTGTGTGTGTATGCTAAATCCTCACAGGCTAGTCTAACAGTGTTTTACTATTTTTGATTGTATAGAGAGATGAAACCATTGAAAGAGCTCATGAATTATATAGGAAATTCAATTCAATTCAATTTTATTTATATAGCGCCAAATCACAACAACAGTCGCCTCACAGCACTTTTTATCTTAGAAGATGTGATCACCAAACTGGCCCTCTCAAAAAGCAAAACATCCACTGTAACGTGTGTCTTTTCGTTTTAGTTCATTAAGTAATAAAAAAAAAATCTGGTGATCACATAGCACCCCTCCTCTTCAGTCTTTCAGTGTGAATCACATTACACTTCCTGTTTCTAAACATAATGACCACATAGAAAGCACAGCCTTGTACTTCCCGTCACATGAAAACCTCCGTTTTTTATTTTCTCTTCCTGTTAGTTCAATTTTTTGAGGTCAAACCCTCAAAACTCTAGTTAACCCTTCTTCAGTCTCTCATACCTGCTAAAAACCAAATAGTGTCACCTTTTCATAAACAGCCTGGGTTATAATTTTGGCTCTACTTTATGGCTGTGAATACATTAAAGCATTTTACACTTAAGTGCTGTGCTGTGCTCAGTGTTGATTTTCTTTTTATAATGTTCATATTTCTCATATTTGTACGTTTTATACAGGATTTGTGTTTATCTGTGTCCCTGTCTTGATGTGAAAGTCACACTGGAGTACAGCATGTAATGTAATGTTGTAGTTTTTGCACATTATCAATAGGGCTTTTCAATCCTGCGTGCTGTGTGAGATACTTCCTGGGTTCGGGGTGCAGCATTGCTGTTCTTGCCTTTTATGTGAAGGTCCTCTTAGGGAAATATAGCCTGACAAAGTAGGACTATCATAATGATTTATTTTAATGCACAATATAACAAAAAAATTGTAAAGAGCCAGAATAAAACAATAGATCTTATGCAGAAATATTAGAGACAAATCGGGACTAAAGTACTAATAAAGATTATATAAAGACTGTTCCCACTTCTACTTTTTTTTATTTATTTATTCTGTCTTTTTATAATTATTCTAGACCAGGGGTCAGCAACTTTGAACACCCACAGAGTCACTGGATTTGGTTTCCACGGAAAAGGAAACACTGGGGGCCGCAAACACTGTGTTGACATCTAACATGAAGATAACACTCTATAAATTGTTTTTTTTTCTTTATGCTTTGTATAAACAACTATAGTGTGTTGCTTGTTAAATCCATGAAGTGCTATAGAGAAAATTTAATTTTATGTATGTAAGGAATACATTTCGAACTTTTAAAAAATTATAACAAAAAAGAAAGACACCCAGTCTAAGGTCTCTTTTCAGTGAATTAAAAAGCTGAACTATCACATCACAGCAAGGTACGCCAGTGTGTTTTGTTGAACGGACCTAGAAGCAGAGTTTGAAGAGGATTAGCAGGTTTTAACAAAAAGCAATCTTTTATTTGGATGATGGCACGTGAAAAACATGGACCCTAGAAAAACTAAGAAAACTAGGAAACAGTTTGTCTGTGACTATGGGGGAGATAACAGACGACCTGACAAAAACATATAGTGGACACAAATGTACACAGGAGGTGATCACGGGAAGTGAGGACACATGGGGAAACGGCTGACTGACTAATGACGTGACAGGGGAAGTGAAACTACATACAATGAACAAAGAAGTAGCCTTGATCTGAATTTTAATTTTTTTTTTAAAAAGCACTATGCTACTAAAAAATTGCTTCTGCTCCTGAACCTCTGCAAACAGCACCTGCAAATCGGGGCTGTACAAAGTCACTTCCATCTTTACGGAGGACTGTAAGCTCTCGTCTGTGAGGCGTGAGCGGTGTTTGTTTTTAACATAGTTCATGGTGGAGAACAGCTGCTCACGTACAACGTCACATACGTATCTGGATCCGAAGATCGGCAATCCACATATTAGGCATACTGGTAGGCTGCCCTCCTCAGAAGTAAATGCAAATGAATCTGCCCAGGCATCATTAAATGTTCTATTTTCTTCTGATATTTTTCTTTTTTCACATTTCTCCATACTTGGCCTACCTGGAGTTGAAAGTCTCGATAAATGCACGGCAGGTATACTGGCTTCCACAAGTGTGACGCTTATTTTGAGTGACGAAAAATAATAAAATATAATTTTATTTTTATATTTCAAGATCGCAATAATCTTTCAATTTAGAATTACAATTTTTAAAAGAACTAACACAAATAAAATACACTTCAGTTAAATACTTGTATAAGGACTAAAGAGCTGCATGCGGCTCTGGAACCGCAGGTTGCCGACCCCTGTTCTAGACTGTATGCTCCCAGGTCCCTCTTTGACTTTCCTTGTTGCTTTGTTGCCCAGCATTACCACTCTTACTTGCTATTTTGCTGGTGTAAAGTGTTAATTAATCGGGGTGTTATTATCGCAGATGACCTCAATAAAGATAGATTTATTACACCTCAAACCACTTTTATTTAGTTGTTTTTCTTCTTCAGAAAGATCAGAAGTGTCTTAAATTAAATCTGAATCTTTCATTACACAATATTGTATTACAGGAAAACAAAAGCGCATTTACTCACGTGTCACAGTTGAAGTCTAAATTCAATACTCGTATGATCTGATGGTAAAAGGAGCATTGTGTTCTTCCACTTCATACTTCTCGGCTGTTACACAGAATTCAGGTTTACATGTTGCAGAATGTGGCGTGGTGGAATAATTGAGTAAATCTCTTACTTGTGTGAGATGTGGACCACACCCATGTGAGAGTGGAGATTCTTCTCTAGTCCAGTTGGCAGCTATTTGGAGTTGAGTAAAGGGAGTAGTTGACTGGTGATGATTTGAGCCCTTCTCTATAAAGGGGAGAGAAAACAGGTTATGGGGGAAAGGGGGGAGAGACACATGAGGTTGAGGAGTGGAGGTTTGGAGAGCTGTGTGCTTTCAACATGTATGGTGTGGTTGTTGGAGTTAGTGTGTGTTTGGATTTCAGGAGTACCTAAGTGGATTTTTTTTTTTTTTGCCTGTCCCATTTGGTCCTTTAGCCGTCAGAATTGTTGTCTGAAGACCAACAAGGATACCCAATGGATTTACTTTGCCAAATGGATCATCCTGGCATTGCCGTATTGGTCCATTTGATCGACCTTTGTTTTTATTATTTATTATATTTTATTTTCAGATGTTACAGACGGGACAGACATGAGTGAGGGATAGGAAAGGGAGAGAGAAAAAAAAATCTCCTGGATCACCTGTTGAGAGGAGAAGAATAGAAAACAAGCAAAAAAAACAAAAAAAATAAAGCAACATACTAAACACAACACCATCGCATTAATCTAGCTAAGTGTAAACAGCAGTAAATACTAAAAATTCAATGTTGTTGTGCAGCACACAGGACAGACAGCGCACAATGTGCTTTGAAGTAGCAGCCAAGAAAGGTGTAATTTAAGTCTACGAGCAGTGAACATCCGTGTGCACACCTGTGTGGATCAGCGCGCTTGTATTCAAATGGTTTCCACATGTAATGGTCTGCTAGAGGATGTAGCGAGCCATAGCCCCGTCCCCCAGGGCATGAAGCAGATCCAGGCCCCAGACATCCAGAGGCCCCAGAGTGTGAGAGCCCAAGGAGGACCTACCTTAGTGGATTTAGTGAGTGAGATTAGCAGGAGAGTCGGTCGAAGGCCTGTACAGGTCTGCAAGTTGGAGAAATCACATATGCTAAGATACTCAGAAATGGAAATCTACTGATTGGTTGTAACATAGAAGTGCAGGTGGAAAAAGCAAGAAAACTTTTGGGTGTGTGCAAAGTTAACGTGAAAAATACTATAAGAGTAGGGGAAAGGAGAACTAATGGAAGTAAAGGAGCAAGGAGTGCCCTTAAATGTAAATATGAAAAAAGAAAGCGACATTTGTAGAGGTATGTAAAATGGTTGAGCAAGAGAGACAGATTAGGAAACCCAGGTTAGGGGAGAAACAAGTGATAGAAAGAGTAATGGAAATGGGTGAAAGGAAACTAGAGGAAGAGAAGAAGATGATGGTGACATTCATTGTGAAAGTAATACATGGAACATCAGATGTGAAGTCCAAGACTGAGAGGATTCATGTCATAGTTTAGATATGAAGAACATCATTTGGGAGGACATAAGGGGTGAACTAAGTAGTTATGCAAGTCAAGAGGGATAATGTGGTGGTTAATTTTTATAACCATATTAATCCTACAGTGGAATGCAAGTTTTTTGTCAAATGGTCAAGATTTTAAACAGTCTATATATGATCAGAAAGAAAAACCTGACTGAGGTCCCTTTTCAAGACTCTCTAGCTCCCCCCGGAGGCTCTGCTTATCCTTTCTCTCCAGATTGAACTGAAGAACAAGCTCTACTTAAAACACCTCCGGGTGCCCAGGTCAAGCCAGACGCAGCTTCCCAAACCCTCACTCGCTTTAAGCCTTTCTCTCCAGAATCCCAGACATCTAGTAGCTACGTTTCTGTTAAATTCTCTGGTCCTTATGTTGTAGAGAAAAAGCTCAGCAAGACCAACTACATTATTCAAACCCCAGATCGTAGACGTCCTACTCGGTTGTGTCACGTCAACATGATGAAGTTGTATAACTCTCGTGAACCTTCAACTGTGCCACAGTGTGGGAAGCATCTGAAATGTCAATTCAATTCAATTCAGTTTTATTTATATAGCCCCATAACAACCGTCGCCTCAAGGCACTTTATAATGTAAGGTAGACCCTAAAATAACACATTTAGAGAAAAAAACCCAACAATCATATGACCCCCTATGAGCAAGCACTTTGGCAACAGTGGGAAGGAAAAACTCCCTTTTAACAGGAAGAAACCTCCGGCAGAACCAGGTTCAGGGAGGGGCGGGGCCATCTGCTGCGACCGGTTGGGGTGAGAGAAGGAAGACAGGATAAAGACATGCTGTGGAAGAGAGACAGAGATTAATAAAAAGTGTGATTCACTGCAGAGAGGTCTATTAACACATGTTGGGTGAGAAAGGTGGCTGAAAAGGAAATACTGAATGCATCATGGGAATCCCCCAGCAGCCTACATCTATTGCAGCATAACTAAGGGAGGATTCAGGGTGATGCGATCCAGCCCTAAATATATGCCATAGATCTCCAATCTAAGGAGATTGGATTTTGGGGGCAAGAGAAGCTGCAGAGAGGTGTGTAAGACTGCAGCTCTGCTTCCTGGTCCCAACTCTGAATAGTCACATTTTGTGGGATTTAATAATTTGGCCAGACTTTGAGATTTCTAAAAATGAGAGCTGCTCCATCCAGCTGAGATGGATGCCATCTCTCTTAACAAGACCCGGTTTCCTCCAGAAGGTTTCCCAATTATCTATGAAGCCCACATTGTTTTTTGGACACCACTCAGACAGGCAGCAATTTAAGGAGAACATGCGGCTAAACATGTCACTACTGGTCTGACTGGGGAGGAAACCAGAGAAAACTACAGAGTCCGACATTATTTTGGCAAAGTTGCACACCAATTCAAGACTGATTTTAGTGACTTCCGATTGACATAAACGGGTGTCATTACTGCCAACGTGAATTATAAATTCAGCTTTTGTAAAGCTCGACCACTTCCTGCAGTACACGGTTATGCCTTTTGGCATGTGTAATGATCCTTTTGCAGGGAGCCGGGTAGTTGTGGGGGATTTGTATTCAGCTGCTCTCCCTGATCGTTTCCCAATGAAACCACCAAAGTTTCCTACCTGATTGGAACACTGCAGGGTAGAACCTCTGTTATGGGCTCAGGCTTATCTCTCTTCTCGTCCACTCCAGTTCTGCTCGTGTGATGAGTTTTTGGAGGAATTAAAGAAGACTGGCGGATTAAGGATGGCGGATTAAGCTCGAGGTCTTCCAAATGTGCTGTTTGCGTCAGATTCTGGGAGTGTCCCTCCGTGATCGTCTCAGCAACAGCGTGATACATAGCCAATGTCACCAGCAGCCCTCAATGGAAGAGCTGATTAGGAAGCAACCACTGCAATGGTTTGGCCACATCTGCCACATAAGCAACCATTGCCTGCCATATCACCTTTTGATGCAGTAGAACCCCGTTCACTGGAGAATCAAGCATGATGCGCTCAAGAAGACTTGGATCAAGCAAATTGGAGACGATCTTAAACAACGACATCTAACCCTCGAGCAAGCAAAGGTGAAGGCTAGAGACCACAAGGCCTGGAAGTGCATCATTGATCAAGATGGAAACCCTACTGCACCCACAGTGACGTATTGGCTTTGTTGACAACCTCCCCTGCCAATCCCCAGCTAGGGACAAAAGAAAAAGAAGTGCGGCGGATTACCTCAAAAATTTATGGTCAGCTGCAGCAGAGGTGGGTTGGCTGGATCGAGCATTGCAGGAGTATACATTCAAATACTAATTCAGACTAAGAGGGATTCACTCGCTTCTCGGGATGAGACTATGACCTTTGAAGAGTTAACCTCTCTTATGCTTTGTATTGACAGTCTCTTAAGGAAAAGGGTAATGGAGAAACACAACAGTTCCTGTTGGGCTTTGCCTCTTTTTCAGGGAGCTCTGTTTAGTTTTAGCAGCGGCAAGCTCCTCTCCTCCTTGCAGGTCCGCGCAAGGAGGAGAGGAGGACGGCAGCAAAAAGGAAGAACCTGGATATAAGAAAGTATTTTTCAAAGAAACCTGTAAGTCACTTAAAGCCAAGTTAACTCGTAAAATTTGTCCCTCATAATAACGTTACAGGCTATGCTAGGCTTTGGCCCACATCAGTCTAAAATTGTATTTTGATTGAAAGTGTCAGAGAAATCGGCAGCCTCGAGCAAGCCAGGATATTAGTTTACAGAGGCTGTTAAAATTACATGTCTAATGTTAAAATGTTGGTGAGACAATAATTACATTCTAATGGCACTGACATATTCATAGGGTTAATTTTTGAGACAAAATATCATGAGGTAATCTTGATTTTGCAAATATTCCACCTTGTAGTGCAGTTTGCACAAATTGTTTTTAAAATGCACTCAGCCTACAAACATTACTGACGAGTCAAGATGTGCACAAATTGACAGAAACACTGAAGCAGCTCCACATTTTATTCTTATTGTCATGTATGTCCTATTGTCAAAAAGTCGATGGAACGTTTTGCATTGTCAAAGGCCACTGCGGGTGCCTTTGGCTTTATTTTGTAATACTGGAGTTATTTTTCTACGAAATTTTGAACTTTGAGAGTGTTTAAACAAGAGAGAGAAGTGTGGAAATGTTCGAGCCTGTCGGAGAAAAGTGTATAAAGTGTGCAGTGAGGGGTTTTACAGCCAAATTAAGTTAGCTACTTTCTATATTTCACCTATCGCGGTTTGGTTTTAGAACGTAACTACTGCGATAAACGAGGGACCGCTGTATAGCTAACTTCTACCGGTGCTTCATCCACAACTACAGTCAGGTAGCAGCAGCACACTCACATGACTTAACTCCACAAAGCTCCCCTTCACCTGGTCTCACGAAGCTGATAGAGCTTTTGCCAAACTCAAAGACTTGTTTTCATCTGCTCCAGTTCTGATTCACCCAGAGAGCCATAAGCCATTTATTGTAGAAGTAGATGACAATGGATCCTCTTTTAGGTCTGGAAGATGATATGATTATGAAGATGATACAGATTAATAAACAATATATTTTTTGGGTGTAGTTTTTAATAAGATATTAACTTGAAAAAAATCACAGAGCACATTATGGGGAAAAGTAAAAAGGTACTTAATATTATAACATGTTTAGCAGGGTTGACAAATGGTCTGTCACGTTAATTTGCTCAAGAATAGATTTTGGACATGTAGTATATGGGTCAGTGGATAAAAATTGGCTAAAAAATTTGGATGTTATCCAAGCTCAAGCACTGAGACTTTGCTTAAGGGCAGTTAAAACAATGCCAATGTGTGCTTTACAAGTAGAATCAGAAGAAAGTCCACTATATATTAGAAGACAACTAGTTAATAGTTAACAATTGGATACAGGTCATAATAAAAGTCATCCTGTTAAGAAAGTGTTAGAGAATTGTTGGGAAAGAGAAAAGATTTTAAAAATAGTTTTGGGTGGGTTGGGGATAATAGAGCTAGAACATTTAAAGTATTAAATGCTTTACCATTTATTAAGTATTAAGAATAGAAGAATTACAACAGATATTTGTCAAGAATTTTATAATAGAGTGGTACAGTGACTATTTACAGATTTATACAGATGGATCGAAAGGTCACAGTTGCAGAAGGGAAGCCAGTTAAAATTGGAGACTCCAGTTAGAGAAATGAACATTTCAAAGGAAAATCGTTTTAACCTGGCCTGGAAGCTTTTCCTTTTAAAATAATCAAATGACACTGGAGGGAGGACTCGTTTTAATCAGGATTTATGTGGACTTGTTGTGATAAAAAGACTGGATTGGAAACTTTTGGTGTGCTGAGTTCAAGGAGCAACACCCTATTCTGGAATTCGCAGGTAACCAATGAGAGGAGTTCAAGACTTGAAGAAGAAGAGCTTGAGAGTTGAACTCCCAGGATCTGGAGTGGAAACCCATTCTCTAACAACACAAGGTCTGATAAGGTGGTTGGAAAGTCTTTCTCAGGAAGATGCAAAATTTGTATGTGCTTGGCTGCTTGTTCTTCTTAGTGATCACCTTTTCCTGTTTGTAACCAGGCTAATAATTTGGGCAGCTTTGGGCCTTGGAGGAAAAATAAATCTTGTGCACCTTATTTTCAGTGTGAGTGTGGTGGTTTTCTACTGGTCACTATTAGAACTTGTTACTTTCTTGGATGCCATTTTTCTGCCCATCTAACATACATGGTGTATTAGTTGGTAGTAAAGCAACTCTCCTCTGCATGAATACTGCCTCCACCTGAGAGGTCAGCTATATCTGTAACTATGTGAAAGAGCAGAAGAGCAGAGAGCTGAAACTGATGGTGGTGGTCAGACACGTGACTTTATGTTCTTTTTGACATGAGCAGAGGAGGGAGGGTGAATGTGTTGGAGCTAAAGCTGCCTGGAAGGAGGAAAAGAGGAAGACCTCAGAGAAGATACATGGATGTAGTAAAGGACATGCAGAGGGTTGGTGTAGCAGAGGATGGATGGGGTGAAATTCAGGCAGGTGATCTGCTTTGGCGACCCATTAAAGGGGGCAGAGAATTAACTACATACATATTTATTTATTTATTTTTAAATATATTATTTATGTGACTTATTCATCCAAGAGCAACTTAGCTTCTGATTCGAGTAGCAGGTACTAAAAAATAAAAATTACCAAGCGACGAAGAGGCTTTACTGAATTCTCAAAATGCAGAAAAATAACAATTTAGATGGATGATTAAAAGATTTCAGCCCTGCAAGGAATGCACAGATGACACTCTACTGCACTGGGAAGTTTTTTTACTTTACTTTGTGTTTATTTCACAGCTGGGAATTTCCACAAGGAAGGGACTAAGTGAAATTCTCTAATTTGTTTCTATGCATTGTATAATAGCCAGTGAGGGGACAGACATGGCAAATGGTGCAACATGTCAGACTGTGGGATTATACATTTGTTAGTTTTTCTAATGGCCTCTTGAAAAGGTAAGTTTTATTCCATATTGTCATTTTTGGTTTTTTAAGTTATTTATTGTGACAGGAAAACAAAACAAAACAAGAAGCTCCTAAAAAGGTCATAAATGTGAGAACTTTTCCAAAGAAATCTCAGTCAGTTATGCCTGAGACAGAGAGATGATTATAACAGAGTAAAGATAGCATTAAAATGTTGGTGACAGAAGTAATGCTAAAATCTCAACAAGCCAAAGTTATATACATGTTAAAGGGAAAGATCAAACAGTACTGAAATGAAGAAGTGGGCATTACGGGGCTTCCCCAGTGAAATAACTGAACTTGGAGCACAAAATAATAAATAACATACCAGTAATGCGCGGAGGGAAGGCTTCTGAGAAAATGTATAAGTTCACAGGAAATTTCTACAATAGCACGAGTTAGAGGTGGGCAGATTGATGCAGTTATCAATAGTATTGATACCAATGCTGGTATTGTTACTGGAGATATACTACTGCAATAGGATTGGTACTTTGTTTCTGTCCTGTAAGTTCAGTATGTACCTCAGTGAATTCTGTTATGTAGTTTTGTTTTTTTTTTTAAATGAAACATAAAACACGGACTATGAAAGCCTCTTATTTTGTTTGTGCAGCTCTAACAACAGTGATACAAGCACAGCAGACTGTGCTGGTTGCAGTGGGAGAAGATGCTGAATTCAGCTGTCAGCTCTCGGAGACTAAATACATCCTTCAGGTCACATGGCAGAAAATCTTACAAGATGTGGAGACAAATGTTGACACCTACAGCTTTACTGAATTTTCAAAATGCAGAAAAAAATGATTGAGTTTGCTGATTAAAACACTGATGAAACTCTGCACTGGGAAGTTTTTGTACTTTACTTGGTACAGTTGATCATTCTAACACACCTTGGAATTTCCCACAAGGAAGGGAGATTCTTCCTTCCTTCGTGGACATTTGAGTTTTCAATAATTTGGCTATTGTACGACGTTGTTTCAATATGTGGTACAATAGCCAGTGGGGGGACAGAGACGTGCACCATGTCAAACTGTGGGATTCTGTGTTTGTTTTTTCTTTTTATGGCCTTTTCAAAAGGTAAGTTTTATTCCGTATTGTTGTTTTTGTTTTTCAAAGTTATTTATTGTGAAAACATAAAAAGAAAACAAGAACCTTCACTCGTAATAATTAAAAATTGATCCTAAAATGTGAGAACTTTTCTCTGAAGTGACAAAGAGATTGTCTTGAGACAGAATTAGAGGGAGATACAATTACTGAAGAGTTTAGATTTTGTTTGAATGAGTGACAAAACGTTTCTCCCACTGAACACTCAGCCTAATAAAAAAGAACAAAATCAACTTTCTGTGTTGAGTTGTTCATCATTCAGATTAATGAGACTGTTTTGAGAGCTGTGTGAAAACAGCTTTAGGCTGTTTTGTTAAAGGTTGCCCCATGCCTATTCATATTACGATGAAAGCAATAGATAAACCACATGTTTGTGTGTTATGTATGTATGGTTGGTAAATTAACAAAAATTGGGTTGTATGTGGCCTACAATGTAAAAGACGTTTCACAACCCCAATGTAGTTAAAAACAAGAAGGCACTCATTTCCATTAGACAGAGACGGAGTTCAGGTCATAAGTAGTTTACTGACAATTATTTAACATTTGAAATTAAAAGATCCGTCAGTCCATTCACATATATACTGTTCAGAGAAGGAATGTAGTTTAGAGCAAAGTGTAGTAGTGTGAAGTGGCTAAACACACTCACCAATTGTTCTAAAATAAACAATTTATCAAAACATTAACAGTCTTTCACACATACATACGGTTTATACACTATTTTAAAAAGAAGGGCTTGAAGACTTGATTGATTACAAAAAAGTCTATTAAAATGTTCTGGGTAACCACAGAAATCTTAGTCAGTTATGTCTGAGAGAGAATGTTTATGACAGAAGTAATGCCAAAATCTCAACAAACCAAAGTTACATACATGCTAAAGAGAAAGATCAAACTGTGCTGAAATTAGGAAGTGGGCAATATAGGGCTTCCCCAGTGAAATAACTGATCTGAAATAATTGAGGCACAAATTAATAAATAACATACCAGTAATCCACAGAAGGGGAGGCCTCTGGGAAAATGTAGAAAATCAATGGGAATTTCTACAGTAGCACGAGTTACCAGTCAATACCAGTCCTGGTATTGGTTATGTTGAAGTGATGGGTTTTATAATTCATTTTTGGTCCACTGAAGGGATTGTTTTGTAACCCCAATATTGATATTTTGTAAATAAAAATATGACCTCAATTAAACCTTTAAATTCCCTGCACTTGTCATAGATATCTACATGATGTCCAAAAAATATACATCAAGTCCAAGGTTCTAATGTTGAACGCCATATTGATGTCCAGCTTAAATCATGGTTGGACCTCCAAATTGTTGAAAAAGTTCAAATGCAGTACAGACCTCCAGAATTGGTCATGGACCAACAGAACCAATATAAACATGATCTGTACATCTATCTGACTTTCTTTGTTTAGTTGGTAGCTAACTGAATTGTGTTACTTTTTATAGATTATAGAAAATGTACCTGAAGCATACAGTATGAAACAATGAGTGTCAGGTTTATATTTATAGTCTACATCACATTTAAGTGGTACCCACATGTCAATTTGTTTGAGCCTAAAACACAGACTACTCCATGACCCGAATTATTGTTTAATCCTTCCCATCAATACCTCTCAGTTCCACATCTCTAACGCATGTTTTTCTCCATGCAGCTCTAACAGCAGTGGTCCAAACACAGCAGACTGTGCTGGCAGCAGTGGGAGAAGATGCTGAATTCAGCTGTCAGCTCTTGGACACTAAAGACGTCGTTCAGGTCACATGGCAGAAAATCTCACGTGATGTGGAGACAAATGTTGCCACCTACAGCAAGTACTATGGTCAGAGAGTGAATGATGGCTTTAACGATAAAGTCAAGTTTAAATACACTGAACTACAGAACTGCTCCATAGTCATCAGGAATGTGACAGAGCAGGATGAAGGATGCTATCACTGTCTGTTTAACACTTATCCTGAAGGCTCCTTCACAGGTAGACCCTGCCTCCAAGTCTATGGTAAGAACTTTTACCTTAATGTGATTAAATGCACCAGAAGCTGGTTTATTCTTGACAACATGGTCCTTATAACATATCTCCTGATCCTTCACAGAGCTGCATGAACCTGTTGTTGATGTCAGAGAGTCAAACTCTACTGAAGAGTGGGTTGTTTCCTGTTCAGCCACTGGTCGACCTGCTCCCACTGTAACACTCAGTGTCTCACAACAAGACCTCAACTTCTCACAGTACAACACTGTCAGTGTGTCCAACACCAACGCTACATTCACTGTCACCACTACAGCTGTGCTCTCAGGTTCATGTAAACACAGCACACAGGTGGGATGTGCAGCACGAGTGCTCTCTGCTCCTCACAGAGAGGTGATGGTGACGATTCCTGAGGTCCAAAAAACATCTGTTGGTGGTGAGAAACTCTTTCTGTATACCAGACTAGACTAGAGACGGATGATACTTGGGTAAATTTGACTGGGATCTAATAACAATGACTTCAGTACTTCATGAGTGATGTATTATTGTTGGTCAGCGTCACTTTTTTCTGTTTTTTTCACAGATTTTCCCTCAATCACTGTAATAGCTGCAGCAGTGCTGGTGTTGGGGTTTGTCTTTTTCTGTTGCTCCACTATGCTGCTTGAAGAAAAGTTACCTTTTCACTTTCTAGTATGTTGTTTTGTAATGTGTCTTATCTTATTAACATGATAGTGATTTATTGATTCTAACCCTAAATCTATCTAGTAATGTCTGCACATATTTTCAGTACTGATTTTAAAGTGTTTTAATCCTTCTCTCACTCAGGGAACCAAATAAGGATTCAAATACTTCAAAAGTCAACCAATGACACTGATGTGTAAGACTATTTAATAATTATTTATTTTTTATATTTCATTTATTCATTCATTCTTTGCACTGTGATTTAACCCATCTTTGTGTAAAGCAGGGGTGTCAAACTCCAGGCCTTGAGAGCCAGCGTCCTGAAGCTTTTAAATGTATCTCTGCTGCAACACACCTGAATAAAATTATTAGGTCATTAGCATGACTCTACCCTACTCAAGTAAATTTAAATAAATGTAAGTACATACCACCAGGTAGCTCCACTCGTACCCAGTGTAACGGGAAGTGAGAGGGTTAGGTTTTGGCGCTTTGAATGTTCAGTTGTGTGATGCAGCGATTAATGTTTGAGTAAAATATTGGGCTCCCTCGTGTCTTCCCTACATTCCTCCACAATGTACGTTTTTGCAAAAATGTACTTCTAGAAGTACTTTTATTACACGATGTTCATTCACTCATGAGCTGCTGCAACATGAATCAAATGGCTGAACTGCCACCTTGGCGTGCAGTCAAGTTCTACAGTCTGCTAATGATCTAATAATAAGTATTAATATTCCTCACTCACCTTACTAAATGTTTGTTAACACAGCCAGAAACATTTGCATCACAAACACAGACTAGTGTTTATTAGCAGAAGCTTTTGGGTGGTTGCTCTCAAACCTGTGTACAAGTTTAAGCATTAATGGTCCTGTCACTGATTTCCAGGTATCCAATGTCAGGGCTAACAGATGGATTCAGACGCAGGCAGCGTTCTGGCAAGCAAAGGGTTGACAATTTATTAACACAGATGGAAACCACAGTGATGTGTATATACAGTGAATGGGGCAGGGCTTCAGGGCTCCAGGGAAAGGAATCCACACTCGCTGTCCACTCGGCCCAAACTCCGCCACTCCTCTTCTTATGCACACTCGCTTCTCCACAGCCACTCTCGCTCCAATTTCCACTTATGTTGACACACACAGGGATCACAGGTCAGAGTCTGCCACCAGTTCCAGGGAGATCTAAACACAAAGAGTCCGATTAGATCAATACGCCAAACAACACCGGGAGAGTTTCTCTTAGGAGAGCTGAGAGCACGAACACAAGAGGTTCAACATTCCAGCGCCGACTACTCCGTGCCGCAGCGTTAAATAGGCAAGGGGGACGCCGCCTGATCAGCAACAGGTGTAGAAATCACCGCAGATGCGTGGGCCAAGGGTGAGAGCCCACAATGAGCTCCACCCAGGGAAGCAGGAGAGAAAACAAAACAAACCTGTGGCCAACATGAGCGAGCCGGAGAGGCACAGGGACCATGACAGCCAATACCAAGTGCACAAGTTCACCCCAGATGGTTCCTCTTCTCTGTAACTTGGAGGATGTGGAGTAGGCTGTATTTTAATCAAAGACATATCAATCATTCAATCAATCAATCAATCAATAACCATGTCTAAAAACAACACAGGTTGACCAAAGTGCTGTACACAGTAAAAGAAAAAGTAAAAAGTAGAAACAAATACACACAATGAACAAAACAAAAAATAATCCCAAATTTCGTTTTTCTTTTCTGAAGGGGTCAAACACTTTTATGCAAGAATGACAGCGAGGTGAAAAACCTTCACCCGCAAGAAAACTCGAGCTGTGACTCGTAGTACGAACACACACCTCACAGTAACACACTTTAATTGTTTAATGTGAACTTTTTGCCAAGCTAGCTAATCCTGACCAACACACCAGACACAGAAGATAAAGGAACGATGTTTTACTGTTAGAGACAGAAAGGTTAAAACATTTTGGCAGAGGGCTAAAATTACCCAAAAAGAAATTCCATTTGACCAAAAACACTTAATTTTTAAAAAATTAAGTATATAGTTATGAATAATGAACAAATAATTAACAAACTGGGGTTTATAAATAGTGTAACACATCCTTATGGTAAGAAATTTTACCTTAATGCGTTACATGTGTTAGAAGTCAATGTATCTTTAACAATATACTCCTTATTTTATATCTCCTGATCCTTCACAGAGCTGCATGAACCTGCTGTTGATGTCAGCGAGTCAAACTCTACTGAAGAGTGGGTTGTTTCCTGTTCAGCCACTGGTCGACCTGCTCCCACTGTAACACTCAGTGTCTCACAACAAGACCTCAGCTTCTCACAGTACAACACTGTCAGTGTGTCCAACACCAACGCTACATTCACTGTCACCACTACAGCTGTGCTCTCAGGTTCACGTAAACACAGCACACAGGTGGGATGTGCAGCACGAGTGCTCTCTGCTCCTCACAGAGAGGTGATGGAGACGATTCCTGAGGTCCAGCAGACGTCAGATTATCAGTGATGGTGAGAAACTGAGATGCAATAACAATGCATTGTGCTAGTATGCATTTTCTCTTTGATCAATAATTGATGTATTCATTTTGATCAGTGTCACATTTTTCCTGCTTTTTCAAGTTTCCTCCTGGATCATTGTATTAGCTGCAGTATTGGTGATGATGGTCTTTGTCAGCGTTGCTGCTCTGCAGTAGGCTACTCTTTAAAGAAAAAGATGAGATAACTTTCATTTTTGATTTCTTGTCATTTTTTTCTACACCAAAATCTATCCAATAATATCTGCATAACATTTTCTACTTGTGATTTAGTTATTAATTCTTTGCTTCATGATTCAATCGGTCTTTGTCTAGTATTAAATTTTATGTTTCCCATTTTATCCCACTGGCTTTAAAGTGTTTCACCAGATTTTTACGAAGTATTTACAGTCTTTTGTTGTCTCTGTCCCAAATGTTCTGAAATGTGTTGCATGTATTAAAAGAAGTTGGACTTTACCAAAAAATGTACAATGTACTTATAAACTTACATTTATGAAAGCTGAACAAACATTGATATACTTAACTTTTGTAACAGTGAAAGGCGATCTGTTTTTATTGATAAATATATATGTTTGCATTACTGTTATTTGGATTGCCATGTTAGAACGTAGCAAACAACATTGTTTGTTCCTCTATGGTTTCTTATTTTTTACAAATTTAAATGTTTTTTGTCAAAAGATTAATAATTTCATATTGAGGTCAGACGGTCAGCAGTTTTGATGTTTTTGCAGAGATTTTATTTTTTGCAAAATAGCACAAGTAAACATTAAAAGTAGTTCCTAAATCAAGGCATTTATTATTAAGGCGGCCATTATTATGGCCCTGTGTGGAAATAGTGATTGCCCCCTAAACCTAATAACTGGTTGGGCCACCCTGAGTAGAAACATCTGCAATAAAGCGTTTGGGATAACTGGCAATGAGTCCTTTACGAGGTGGTGGAAGAATTTCTGCCCACTCATCTTTGCAAAATTGTTGTAATTCAGCCACACTGGAGGGTTTTTGAGTATGGACCACCTTTCCAAGGTCACAGCACCTCAATCAGATTCACGTATGAACTTTGGCTAAGCCATTCCAAAGTCTTTATTTTGTTTTACTTAAGCTGCTTAGAGGTGGACTTGTTGGTGAGCTTTGGATCAAGTGCACTTCAGCTTGTGGTCGTGAACAGATGGCCAGACATTCTCCTTCAGGATCCCAGAAACTGGATTCTGTTCATCTTGACGTTGCATCTCCAGACTGAGAGATCTCAATTACTTTGTTTCTTATTTGCTTCTGAATTTCCTTGGATTGCGCCATGATGTGTAGTTTTTGAGGATCTTTTGGTCTACTCTACTTTGTCAGACAGGTCCTATTTAAGTGACTGATTCAGCACAGGTTTGGCAGTAATCGGGCCTGGCTATGACTATGGAAAAATTGTATATTTTTATTGATAAATGCAAATATTTTATGTCTGTTATGTGCATTGCCGTGTGGAGAATATAAGGAAAACAATTGTGTGGTTTACATTGTTTCTTCCTCTTAGATTTCTTGATTATTTTTTTTTTAAACTGCAATAACTTTATGTTAATTTCAGTGCACTTTCACATTTCTTTAAATTCAAACTACAGTCCTGTGAATAACTAGAAACACTTCTAGCAGCACGAATGTGAGGTAATTGTTTTCTGCTTGACTTTATCAGTCTCTCATATTGTTGTGGAGGAATGTTGGCCCACTCTTCATTACAACGTTGCTTCAGTTCTTTGAGGTTTGTGGGCATTTATTTAAGCACAGCTCTCTGAATGTCCCAGGTTGAGGTCTGGACTTTGACTGGACTTTGCTTTTCAGCTATTCTGCTGTAGATTTGCTGCTGTGTTTGGGATCATTGTTCGACTGCAAGACCTAAACTTTACCTATTAAACAGTTAACTCTGTATTTTACACTTTATGTGAATATTGTTGCAGATTTCAATTATTAATGTTTTTATAACTTTGTTCTTTCTTATATTTAATATTATACAATATTTATACTTCATGTCTCTGTCTTCTTTTGAACACTCCAGCACAGCATCACTATAACTTTGTCCTCACTGACAATAAAGCTGTTTTATATATTTCGTTGCAAATGTTTCAAGCAATTTGTAGCTGTATCTTAAGATATTTTGTTAATAATATAGTATTTTATATTGTTTTTTTCCCCATATTTGAGAAATATTTAACATGTAAAAGTCTGTTTATGTACAATTTGGTGATATTAGCCCTGATTATTGGAGGAACTTGTACATGAAGCAGATTTCTGAGACTTCAGATTTGAAGGTTGTTGTCATATAATCTAAATGATGGCAGATTAACGTTCCCTACCTCTGTCCTACAACCACAGGACTCCTTTGCATTCGACTGATAGAAATTTCAAGCTCAGTGTTAATGAAGATTTCAAAGGCCTTAGTGCAGGGGTAGGGAACGTCTAAAACCTGCAGGGACGCCCTCGAGGCCTGGAGTTCCCTACCGCTGCCTTAGTGTGAAAGGAATGAAGCTGTAGCGCCTCCCAGTGGTTGAAAAGAGGTACACAAGAGGTGTTTGTAATCAGCTGGGACAAAGGTACATTATGAGAATAATATCTCTGACAAACCTCTACCTCAATTAAAAGATGCATTTTGATTTACATGAATGCACTTCATCTTCTCTGCAAAGGCTACACAACCTTCTTTGCCATTTGAGTGTGTCCAGTCTAGCTGAAACCAGCTCATTACTGATGGCATAAAAACGATCTGTGAGGTAACATTTTTACTGTCATTCATTCCTGTTGAAAACTTGTCACGTGTTTGCTTAGGTTCTTCTCAATAATCCTCCCGTATCCTGTGTAAAAACTACCCGAGCTTAAAGTATACAGACTGCCGGGAGGGGCGAGACGGTAGTTCCATGTGTCATTTTCTGTCTGTCTCTCAATGTCGAGTCTGCGTCTTAGTGTGATGGTTTCTTGTTCCTGTTTTATTGTGAAGGTCTGCGTCTCATGTGAGTGTGTTCAGTTTTACCTCTGTCTCATCTTGTTGATTATTCCCAGCTGTGTCCACCACCTGTGTGTAATTCCCCTGTGTTTCTCTGTGTATTTAAGTCGTGTCCTCTGTCATTGTAGTTGCTGGTCCGTCTGTGTATCCACCATGTCTCACCTGTGTGTTCTCCCTGCTGTCCATCTCCTCTGCTCGTTCTTGTCCAGGTTTGTGCTCTGTAGTTTAGTTGTTTCCAATCTAGTTTAGTTCCTGCTCCATTTGCTGTTTGTCCATATTTATTTTTGTGTTCAATAAACCACCTTCACTTCTCCACTACTGCCTGCGATTGGATCCTCATTTATTATTTTCACACGGCTCTCCTTACCCGCCGTGACAGTACGGACCAGCCAGATATGGATCCAGCGGCAGTCACCCCACCTAGGGAGCTTCAGGAGGCCGTTATCGACTCTGCTTCTAAATTGATTTACCAACTGTTAGAGCATGAGGGAGAAGCGTCTCTTTACACTGTGGAAGCCAACCTACAACACCTTATTTCCAGTTACCCCTGGTTATTGGACTCACTGCATCTGCTCGTACAGAATTTTTGTTCTTCACGAGCTTCACCTACACCCCCCCCCCCGCCGCTACCGCTCGCCTGCTCAGTGATATCATCAGTGACAAGTCAGGTGATAGAGGCTAATGCAAAATGGTGTTTCAGTGAGGTAGAATTTATTATGACAATACATTTTTTTTAAATACTCAGTATGAATTAAACAGGTTAAAGGTCAATGCTCTGTTGTAATATATGATATGATTGACAGCAGCCCAGCAATATCAGTAAAACGCAAATTAGCCACATGGTGCAATGTAAGGAGCTCTGTGATTGGTTAGGAAAGGACAGACTGGCCACCTCGATTTTTCTTCACTGCACATTGATCCATAGCTTTGCTCTGTAAAGGCTAACAAAGTGCTTTTGCTTTACAAAGACATTCAGCGTCGGTATTCACTCTTTTAAAATGCCACTGAACACTGGAGTGAAATGGAGCCCTGATCCTCAGTTTTATTGTTGCTAACATTTCTTATAGATAGCACAGATAGTGCCCCACTGCAGTAATCACTCATGTCTAGATATTCCTGTTAAAAGGGAGTTTTTCCTCCCCACTGTAACATGGCAAACATAGCAAACGAATAATCCAGCTGAAGCTTCAGACAGTGAAACACTGCCATCTGCTGGACTCGAATAACAAAGACGCTGCTTTGACGGGTGAGGGAGTTTCAACAAGTCTGCAACGACTCAAGCATCAAACTACTAGGGGTGGGGAAAAAAATCGATACTGCGTAGTATCGCGATATTTTATTTGCCAATAATGTATCGATACAGGGACAGCAGACATCGATATTTTGTTCCAAAAACTTCCAATCCACCAGATGGTGCGGTTGAGCTTTTTCTCTAGTGAGGTCAGCAGAGGTTAGGTCAGCACATGGGAAAATTGATCAAACAAAGATGGAGGAAGAAAAAGAGATCAGGAAAGCGCCATCTGCGTTTAAATCAAACGTCTGGACGTACTTTGGATTTTTTAACAAGGATGGAACAAATGAGATGGATATGACACACGGGATTTGCAAGGTGTGTCGTATGAAAATAAAGTACTCTGGGAATACTACGAACATGAGGGCCCATCTTACACGGCACCATCCAAATATAGCATTAACCGCGGACGGGAAAGCTAGCTCTGAATCAGCTCCACTGAAAAATCAACCAACGCTGGACACTCTTAGCTTAGCAAAGCTATCTCCCAATTCAGAGCGAGCTAAGAAAATAACACAATCTATCACGTACTTCATCTGCAAAGACCTGCGTCCTTACAACATTGTGGAAAACGAGGGCTTTTCTTACATGATCAAGACGCTGGAACCCAGGTATGTGATACCATCACGATGTTTTTTCGCCGACACAGCCGTACCCAATCTCTACATAGATGTGAAGCGTAAAGTTGAGGAAAGTTTGAGCACAGCAGAAAGGGTTGCATTAACTTGCGACGCATGGACCTCGCGGGCTGTGGATTCATATGTGACTATAACAGCTCATTATCTCACAGCGGACTGGCAACTGCTGTCTTACGTTCTCCAAACTCGAACATTACATGAAAGTCACACCGGAGCGAACATTGCAAATCTCCTGCAAAATGCAGCACAGGAATGGGGGATTGCCGACAAAAATCTTGTGGTTGTCACCGACAATGCTTCTAATATGACAATTGCCACTCAGCTAGCGGGATACCTGCATGTGAAGTGTTTCGCCCATACGCTCAATCTGGCATCACAACGAGCCTTAAACCTGCCTGCAGTAGCGAGGGTCTTGGGGAGAGTGCGGCGCATAACTGGGTTTTTCAATAGAAGCACAGTGGCAAACCACACTCTGGAGCAAAAACAGAAAATGTTACAGCTCCCGACTCACAAGCTCAAGACCGACGTCTGCACGAGATGGAACAGTGCTTATGACATGCTCCAGCGTTTCCTTGAACAACAACCTGCAATTTGTGCAGCGCTGCTGTCTCCCAAAGTCAGAAAGAGTAGCACATATCTTTACTCTAAATAAGACGGATATTGGGAACACTGAAGAAATTGTCCGGGCCTTGAAGTCAATGCAAGTCGTGACTACTGTGATGTCTGAGGAAAAGAATCCTACTCTGTCTCTCGTAGCACCGCTGCTAGCACAGCTGTTGCACGACACCCAAGACAACATTGGTGACACAGCACTGGTCAGAAACATCAAGCAAAGTATCAGTCAAGATCTTAAGAAGAGATATGCCAGCACAGTCGAGAGGAACACCCTCTACACAGCATCAGCTCTCGACCCACGCTTTAAAACCCTGCCATTCCTGTCACTGGAGGAAAGACAGGAAACCTATGCCAGAGTGGTTGCTGAGGCTATAACCCTTCAGGTAAGCAAACATTTTGGTGTTATAATTTAAATAACTTACAATATTAGTAGATCGGTGATATTTTTGTCATATTGGTAATATTCTATTTAACAATTAAATACATTAATTATAATTTGCTAACATATTACTGCATACTAAAAGATATGAAATATTTATTTTCTCCCTCTCTCTGTATGTGTGTGGGTTTTCTACAGGAAGAAAAGAGGCAGCAGCCCATCTGTGAGCCAGAAGCCCATGAACATCATGAGAAACCCGACGAGACTGAACAAAATCCCAGACCCCCTCTCATACCAGCCAAGATGAGGAAGTCTCGTGGGTTAACAGACTTGCTTGGTCAGACTTATGGTGATGTTGGAGCCCCACCAAAATCATTATCTGCCACAGCTGAGGAGGAGGTGAAAAGATACCAGGAGGTCACATCACTGGCACTCACAGAAGACCCACTAAGCTGGTGGAAATCCCATGAGGAAGTCTATCCTTTCCTGGCCACGCTGGCAAAAAGATACCTTTGTATCCCAGGCACTAGTGTCTCGGCTGAAAGAGTCTTCTCAACTGCTGGAGACATCGTCACAGCAAAACGGAGCACTCTGACTTCAGAGCATGTTGATCAGCTCCTTTTTCTGAGCAAGAATGCTGACATTGCTTCACTGTCCAAATGTGTTTAACTTTTTAGGGCAGCAACAAACAGGACAGTTTACTTATTTTAATTTAAGAAATGTTTTATTTTATTTAAATTTAAAAATTTTTTATTTAATGTAAAATTATATTTTATTATAAGCTATAATTGTACCAGATAGTTACGTTCAGTTAAGTTGGTTACTAGACTGTTATACAAACCGTTCACTTTGTCAGCAATAAAACTGACTGACATGAGAGAAAGACTGAGTGTGAGACTTTATTATTAGATAAAATGAATAATGATAAAGTTTACCTTTATGGACAAAATCTGCAGTAGAAAAAATATGTGATAAATCACAAAATATTGTATTGCAATACCCAGAATATTGCAAAAATATATATAAAAAAAAATCGCAATAATATCGTATCGTGAGTTAAGTATTGTGATAATATCGTATCGTGGGGTGTATGGTGATTCCCACCTCTACAAACTACAGAACTATTATAGCGGACATGGTGCTCTAATGACTGCTTCATTAACGCAGGTCAGAAAGGATCAAACATATCAATAAATTATAAAACACAAAACGTCTCTTATTGCCCAGGGCACAGGAAGTGAGTGACCACTTAAGTGTGTTCAACAGGAAGCTAAAAGTTGTTAGCTGTTAAAGTGTTCAAAAAACAGCAGGAGCTCGGTGTGAGGCCACAGTGGGCCAAAAAACACACACAAGATGACCTCCAGCAAGGACAAAATGTATCTGGACGTCTCTGTGAGCATCTGTCTCACTGTGTAAGTGTAGCACAGTGTCTGTGTGTGCATGGCTGGGCAAGAGAAACAGCACAACTGAAAGCCAGCACTCAGACGAGGACCCGGTGCATCGTCTGTCTCATCTCAGCCAGTTTACTTACAAACTCTTTAAGTTTGAATTTTAAAGCCGACAATGTGCACAGGGCAGTGATATTTAAAATGAAGGTAAACTATTCCAATCTCTGCAGCCCCAATTGTGTATCACACACACACTAAGTTCTCCTCCTGCCTTCAGCCCAACCGTTGAGCGCGATGACAAATAGAGCCGCAGAATTTTGCTGCTGTGTAATTAAATTGAGACGTGGGGTCAAAATTCCCACCTAGATTGAGTGAGATGAAATAGAAATCGGCTCTCCTCTAACTGACTTTATAGAAATAATTACATCAGCTGCATTTATAACTGTTATTAAATAACAGCAGCACACGAGAACTAAAGTGTAATCCCAGCACATTTCGCTTCGCTTGCACTGATTCTTTAGAGATGACGACCGTGGTGGGTAATTAAGGGCAAACAATATACAAGTGGCGTGAAAAATGGAGGCTGCATTACCTTTCCAAAGCTTCCTTTCCCGATGGCCCGCAGTATCTGGAAGTGGTCAAAGTTTACTGTGGAGAAAATGAGAAGCAGTTAGTGAGAACGTGTCAGTTTGAGCTGAGCTATAAAACAGGGAACATGACATGTACAGCACTGTGCAAAAGTCTTGAGCCATCCCTCATTTGCTTCCAGGGATCCGGACTTCCCTGTAATCTTTAACGTGGTATTAAGGAATAGCTCTCCAGGCTTTTTAAAGTGTTTCTGATTTTTAATCCAGGGCTTGTATTTGACCACTTTTTGTCTGTTAAGACCCTTCACACTAATCTCTGAAACATTCAAACATAAACAGACACCTAAGTCACGGAAAGGACCACAAAACTTAACAAAGAACCAATTTTAAATTGTATCTGTACACATTTACTTGCAGCCTATTGCAAAAAAACAAAAGCCCACATCATTTGTTCTCACTTCTTTAGTTGAAGAATGCAGTTAATAACACCGTTAACACAGACTGACCTGGCAAAACACGAAAAAATAAGGGGGTGGTTCAAGACTTTTGATCGGTACTGTATGAGAAATGCAAATGTTCACTTCACAATGTATCGCTGCACTTCGGCAGTACTGTGAAGATTAAATGTTTTTTCCTTCCCGATGCATGTGAAAGGTTAAGACTTACATCTCCAAATGTACTGGAACTGATTTGAACCAGAGGACTCAGCCACACTGTTACTATGTACTGCATAAACACGTTTATCGATGAAGGTAAAGCAGACGCTGTCCTGACTGTGTGGCTAAATTTTGTGCTGAAAGCATCAAATCAATTGAATATGATTAACTTGCTATGAGAGGTTTTTACTCCAAGTGTGACTTTTTCTGGCTTCATACACCTTTCAGGGTCAAATTCAAGCACTTTGTAAGCACGTTTAATGTCCATTTTCAACATTTTCCAGCACATTACCATAAAAAGGATGCATATTTCACTTCGCATCACCTGAGTAAGACCACGTGAAAGGCCAAATGAATAAGTCTTCTCATCAGATATTGATGCTTCTTTCTTATGTGACACAAAAAACAGGAGGAGACAGATCTTTGCTTGTGTTGTTTTTTAAGTTCATTCATTCAAAACTAACTGTAAGACGCTTAACTACATTGCAGTCTGTGTTATTGTTGTAGACCTAATTATCACCTTTAAAGTGTTTGTGCTAATAACATCATGTAGAGTAAGACAGGCATAGAGAACAGCACTGACTGGGAGAGGCTTTGAACACATGACATACTCAGATCAATTCAACACTTTAGACTTTAAAAATGCACAAGCGTCTTTCAAAAACCCATTTATTTAATCTATCATCATTGATATTATTATGTACAGTTAGAATGTACTGTTCATCTCCCTTAAATAAACAGGCAGCCTTAAAGTGTGAAATAGTCACTTGTCTACTGTCTCAGTGGCTGATAGTGCCCCACAGGCCTCAATGTCAGCTCGAAGCCATTATGTTTCAATTGTTTAATGATAAACAGATTTTGAATGAAAGCGAGGAAACTTCGCTAGCACAAAAAAGTGCCTATTCTTTCTTCCCATATGGTTCAGTCATATTACCGTCATTTCCCCCTAAGCTGTTCCCAAAGACACCAGGTTAATACTCGAAAAGGCTGCAGCGATACACAAAAATATCATCAATATTCTGTTTACTTGGTGACAACGTCGCTTTTAGCCTTCAATCAGAAAGCCTGACGTTGGCTAGTTAAGCATCGGGCTAACGTTTAACGCTTTCACTTGAGGGAAGTAACTCGTATTACTGCTACTGCTGTGTAATCTTGGTTCAATTCACAGCATATTCTACAAGTTACCCTGCAATAACTAACTGTTAGAATAGCGCCACCGTATTGTATCGCACTGAGTGCACTTCAATCCTTTGTCCCGCGAGTTTGCTAGCTAGCAAAATAATAATACCAATTTTAAACAAATAACATGTGTAACGTACACACTCGAGAAAATTATTTACTAGTACTTACGCAAACTCCCCCGTTGTGAAAACGTACAAATCCTTCTTGTATTTTTCGTTTTCCAGCAAACACTCATTAAAACGGCCTCCAGGCACATTAGCGCACTCACCCCCGACTGATCAGGGAGGGGGTGGGGGGTCACACACTGAAACAGACTAACGTGCAGAGGTACAGCCCAGGCAGACAAATGTTGCTTTTAGACTTTGCGACTCGTTTTATTTCTCTATCTGATAAGAAAACTATTCAATCAGATAGTTCTTTGTGGTGAATGAAATACGGTTACAGTTTCAAGAAGTTTTAAGCACCAAATCCGAAATCCAAGCACTGCAATATTAAAATCCAATTCAATTTCTTGTTTGCTCCGAAATCTACGACATGACTATATACAGAAAAGCTTGACTTGGTATGCAAAAAAACCCCCAAAGACAATACAAATACAAATACATGAACAAAAAATGTTTTAACTGTCAGTTATGTCATTTTAAAATTTTCCAAAACTAACATTTTCTTTGATTGACTGATATTAAATTGATTAGGGTCAAGTTTAGTGTGAACAATATTACACAAACAAGCACGTGTATGCGCATGCGCACATATTAGAATCCCTTCCATCGCTTCTAATATGTGCGCATGCGCACATATTAGAACGCTTCCATCGCTTCTCATATGTGCGCATGCGCACATATTAGAATCGCTTCGATCGCTTGTGACGTGATAACTTTGCTTTGATCCTTTCTGATGTCATAACTTTGCTTTGATCCAAAACCTATAAATAGGAGCGCTCACCTGTTACTTTATGCTTAACGGACGTTGACCTGCAGCAACTAAAACCCTTTTGAGAAGATTTGAGAGCAATTTACGAGAGAAACCAAAACAAGTTCAGTTTTGTTTCTCACCAATTCACAGCGCAAACAGACACATTACACCATGTCAGCCAACCCATCCTTCGGCTCAGATGAGCTTGGAATATCTAAAGGGACCATTTTGGGAGATCACCACATGGTGGAGGCTTTCCTTGGAGAAGGAAGCTTTGGTGTCGTAACGAAATGTCGCGATACAAAAAACAACAAAACTGTTGCTGTTAAAGTCAACAAAAGCGACCCTGAAATTCTGCTCCAGGCAAAACTGGAAATTTTCATCCTGGAGCAGCTACGACGCTTGGATCCAGACAGGTGCAACATTGTGGAATGGAACGGCTATTTCCTCGATGGAGAGCGCATTTGCCTGAATTTTGAACTCCTCGACCAAAGCCTGTCAGACTACATAGGGGACCGGAATAACCAAGGTCTCCCAATGAGAGAACTCAGGCCAATTTTGCATCAGCTTGCAAATGCTCTATTCCACCTGGGTTCTGTGGGAATAGTGCATGCTGACCTCAAACCTGTCAACATCATGGTTGTGAACCGCAGTGAGTCTCAAGTCAGAGTCAAACTTATAGACTTTGGCATCGCATGTAACACCTCTGCAGTGATTCCTGGTGACTGTGTGGGGACAATTGGTTATTGTGCACCTGAGATTATGCTTGGCACTCCATATGATGAAGCAATTGACATGTGGTCTCTGGGGCTGGTAGCTGTGGAGCTTGCTACAGGGGTGCCTCTCTATCCTGGGGAAGACGATTATGATGTTTTGAAATTCATAATTGAAACCCAGGGTCAGCTACCAGATCATCTCCTAGAGTCTGGCTTGTACACTGACAGCTATTTCATCGAGGATAACCACAAGGAACAGCGCTGGACATTTAAGACCCCAGAACAATTTCAATACGAGACAGATTATCGATCCAAGGAAACTCGATCGATAAAACTTAAGTGTCTCGATGACCTCGAAAAACTGCTGAAAGTTAGGCGAGGACCGGAAAATGGCCAAACATTATTTGTAAGGCTAATCAAAGAAATGTTGGCCTTGGATGCAAATCAGCGCATAACACCCTCAGAGGTTCTGAAGCATCCCTTTTTCCACCCTGGCCTCTCAAGGAGAACCCCCTGCACTGACATGAATAGTACAGGGGGAGAACTCCTTGTGCTCTCTCAGCAGCCTTCAAGCTGGAAAAGTCATGGATTGCAAAAATTCAGCTGCAGTTTCCAAAACTCAGTTGAATTTCCTCAAAAAGGAGACATCAACACCTCAGCCAACCCATCTGCCTCTGAAGATGATCTTCAAATAACGGAAGGGACCATTTTAGGAGATCACCACGTGGTAGAGGCCTTCCTTGGAGAAGGAGGCTTTGGTTTAGTAACCAGATGTCGCGATACAAAAAACAACAAAACCGTTGCTATTAAAGTCAACAAGAGCGACCCTGAAATTCTGCTCCAGGCAAAACTGGAAATTTTCATCCTGGAGCAGCTACGACGCTTGGATCCAGACAGGTGCAACATTGTGGAATGGAACGACTATTTCCTCGATGGACAGCGCATTTGCCTGAATTTCGAATTGCTTGACCAAAGCCTGTGGGACTACATTGGGGACCGGAATAACCGAGGTCTCCCAATGAGAGAACTCAGGCCAATTTTGCATCAGCTTGCAAATGCTCTGTTCCACCTGGGTTCTGTGGGAATAGTGCATGCTGACCTCAAACCTGGAAACATCATGGTGCTGAACCACAGTGAGTCTCCCGTCAAAGTCAAACTCATAGACTTTGGCCTCTCATGTCCTGCTTCTGCAGTGATTCCTGGTGACCGTGTGGGGACAATTGGTTATTGTGCACCTGAGGTTATGCTTGGCATTCCATACGACGAAGCAATCGACATGTGGTCTCTGGGGCTGGTAGCTGTGGAGCTTGCTACAGGGGTGCCTCTCTATCCTGGGGAAGACGATTATGATGTTTTAAAATTCATAATTGAAACCCAGGGTCAGCTACCAGATCATCTCCTAGAGTCTGGCTTGTACACTGACTGCTATTTCATCGAGGATAACTACAACAAACAGCGCTGGACATTTAAGACCCAAGAACAATTTCAATATGAGACACATTATCGATCAAAGGAAACTCGATATATAAAACTTAAGTGTCTCGATGACCTCGAAAAACTGCTGAAAGTTAGGCGAGGACCGGAAAATGGCCAAACATTATTTGTAAGGCTAATCAAAGAAATGTTGGCCTTGGATGCAAATCTGCGCATAACACCCTCGGAGGTTCTGAAGCATCCCTTTTTCCACCCTGGCCTCTCAAGGAGAACCCCCTGCACTGACATGAATAGTACAGGGGGACAAAACCTTGTGTTCTCTCAGCAGCAATCATCGTTTGGGTGGCCAGAATTCTAGGGGAGCTAGAAATTCTTGTGGAAAAAAAGCCCAAAACAATAACATCAACAAAAAAAAGCAATGAATGTGGTCTTAAACTTGGGCACAATTTGGCTTGAAATCCATCAACTAATCTCTCAATATTCAAAGCGGAGCAGCAGACAACTTACCATCACATCAGTCCTTCAATCAGACCTACAACAAACGTCTTCAGTCTCTCACCCCAACCGGTCGCAGCAGATGGCCGCCCCGACCTGAGCCTGGTTCTGCCGGAGGTTTCTTCCTGTAAAAAGGGAGTTTTTCCTTCCCACTGTCGCCAAAGTGCTTGCTCATAGGGGGTCATATGATTGTTGGGTTCTCTGTATGTATTATTGTAGGGTCTACCTTACAATAATACATACAGCCTTGAAGTGACTGGTGATGTGATTTGCTGCTGAATGAATTCGGAACTAATTGGAAATCTGGATATTAATTAAATAAACCTGCTTTGAGCATCAATTAATTGTTGTTTGAAATTCTTTATAAATATATAAATATAGTGCCACTCTTCTACTGTTTAAATTGCAAGTGTTTAAAACTGACTAATTTATTCATACACTTGAGCATAAACACATGCACAGTAAATGGCCTGTACTTGTACAGCGCTTTACTTAGTCCCCAAGGACCCCAAAGAGCTTTACACTACATTCAGTCATTCACACATTCACACACTGGTGATGGCAGCTACATTGTAGCCACAGCTGCCCTGGGGCGCACTGACAGAGGCGAGGCTGCCGGACACTGGCGCCACCGGGCCCTCTGACCACCACCAGTAGGCAACGGGTGAAGTGTCTTGCCCCGGGACACAACGACCGAGACTGTCGGAGGCGGGGCTCAATCTGGCAACCTTCCAATTACAAGATGAACTGCGAACTCTTGAGCCACGATTGACCTATATACACATATACTTTACAGTACTAGTCAGTGCTTACATACTAGTTCTTTTCCCTACTTTTTCATGCTTACTGGTACAAATGCCTGTTACTAGAGTTAAATGCTATCAATGTATTCTCACAGTTATGGAACTGTACAAATGCATACAAAATAACGCTCACGTAAACATAACTGTGCACTAGTTTGCCCTTATTGCTGCAGTTTGTTTCAAGTTGTTCTCTCTCTCTCTCTCTCTCTCTCTCTCACACACACACACACACACTCACTATGTAACGTTTCAGCAAAAAAATACCACCCCTTCCCCCCACAGTGACACCACCACCACTAGTCTGCACAGCTGACATAAGGCAGCATGGATCCATCCTTTCATGCTATTTATGCCAAATTCTGACCCGACCATCTGCATGTCAGAGCAGAAATCAAGACTCATCAGACCAGGCAACATTTATCCAATCTTCTCATGTCAAATTTTGAGAACTGTAGCTTCAATTTCCTGTTCTTAGCTGACCAAAACGCTCTTCTGCATTCTTTGGTTGCAACAAATGGTTGTATGAGCTACGGTTGCCTTCCTATCAGACATTTTTCTCTGACTGTTGACATCAATAAGGCAGTTTTTCCAAGAGAACTGCCTTTCACTGGATATTTTTTCTCTTTTTTGTCACCGAAAAGGGTGTCTGTGTTACTTCTTGTCTTATATATATTGTCTCTGTTTTCCTCTGTCCTTTGTCAGAGTGTCTGTTCACCTACCCCCTGTGTCTCCATATTCCCAGTGTTCAAGGTTTCCGAGTGTTTTCCCAGTTTAGGTTTTCATGGTTGGTTCTGTTTGCTACTCAGCCAGAATAAACAGCTCGCTCTTTTTAAAAGTAGGCTCCAGAATGGATGATGGCATGTTCGCATGTCTTTATGCAACACTGAGTGTGCTGAACTAAAGGTAGGCCTAGTTTCATTTTCATGGTCATTATTATCAAGACAATGATTACGCCTTATTCTGATTATTTCTCCCTTTTGGAGGTGTAACGTTTACATGAGGGGTGTAGGAACATTTCCCCCTAAATATTTTTAGATAAACTTTTGCTAAAGTCACAGTTTTTGTCGTATTGATGATGCAGCTAGAATAAGTGCTTTTAAATAAAAGAATAACCATTCAAAGTGCTCAGTGGTGAAACTGTAACTCTTTCAGAGTTTGACAGCTGGACAAGTGATGCCGTATTTAAAGAAACATGAGATGAGTGCAGCATATTATCTGAACAGAGATCATTCAATGAGCAAGAATAAACACTGAAAGAGAAACACTTCACTGTTGATTATCATATGAAGTCTAATGAAAGCTGTTAATCTGTTAATATCCTGTTAATCTGCAAATACAGAACATGCGACTTTAAAGCATCCAGCAAAGTGATAACTGTCCTCTGCCCACTAAGTAGTGACTCTACAAAAGATTATTTTCAATATCATCTTTATATTATATTTAGTTATTCTCCAGCGCAACAATGTAAGGAGCTCTGTGATTGGTTAGGAAAGGACAGACTGGCCACCTGGATTTTTCTTCACTGCACATTGATCCATAGCTTTGCTCTGTAAAGGCTAACAAAGTGCTTTTGCTTTACAAAGACATTCAGTGTCGGTATTCACTCTTTTAAAATGCCACTGAACACTGGAGTGAAATGGAGCCCTGATCCTCAGAGTTTTATTGTTGCTAACATTTCTTATAGATAGCACAGATAGTGCCCCACTGCAGTAATCACTCATGTCTAGATATTCCTGTCAAAAAGGAGTTTTTCCTCCCCACTGTAACATGGCAAACATAGCAAACGGATAAACCAGCTGAAGCTTCAGACAGCCGTCATATGACAGTGAAACACTGCCATCTGCTGGACTCCAATAACAAAGACGCTGCTTTGACGGGTGAGGGAGTTTCAACAAGTCTGCAACGACTCAAGCATCAAACTACAGAACTATTACAGCGGACATGGTGCTCTAATGACTGCTTCATTAACGCAGGTCAGAAAGGATCAAACATATCAATAAATTATAAAACACAAAACGTCTCTTATTGCCCAGGGCTCAGGAAGTGAGTGTGTTCCTTATAGCCTATTAAACCTTAGCAGGTTATTTTGATGTGTTACAGATGAAACAGCTATCCAGTAACATTCAGCTACAAAAATGCTTTTTTATAATTACTTTTTTACAGCTTCGCACTTTTACACAAGTTTTATCATCAGTGTCACAATGGCTGCTGCTAAAATTGAGTACAAGATATTTGTTGGCCTGATTAAAGGTCTTGATGCGTGCTCAATCATCCAGGGAAGTAAATCTCCAAAAGTTGATTCTGTTCTTCTGGACGTAGCGTTTTCAGTCAGAGAAACCAGCCGACTGAAGGAACAATGGGCTGGGAGGTCAGTTCCTTAATCATGATTATGCAAATTCTCATGACCATTGATCAACAACCACTGATCAATGGTCTTGAGTACCATTCACAGAGAGTTGGAGAACGGCTGCAATCACAGCATTGTAAGATGGTGACAGATGTACCCTTAGGCCCCCTCCTTGATTCAGAGAGGGTCTTTCCCTTTTCACGTAAATGGCCTCCTTGACTCCGCCCTCAAACCAGCGTTCATTGCAGTTATTGTTGACAATCACATTGTATCGTGTAACCATCCAGCTCACATATTCTATGTAAATGATTTGTTGAACTCAAGACATGATGAATGTTCCTGCATTAAACCACATCCAGCCTAGTGTTCTCACTCTCCCTAAATGGATCTGTTACATTAGTGATATGTGGGAGTTGTGTTTCAGTCTTTTCCACATGAGGACATTTACATTTAGTTTTTGCTTTACTGATGAGTGGCTGGTTAACCTGCAGTGGTTGAAGTATGTGTCGGTCGTCTGGAAGAGTAGGTGTAGAAGACGTCTTTAATGAATGTAATGCTCTGAAGGTGTCAGTGATTACTGTGAATTCATTATAAAAGTGGATTTCAGTGAATAAAGACAGGCCCTCATGGTGAAGCTCAGGTGTCCATAAAGTGTAACAGGAGAGCTGTGTCATACTTTCAGATATTTTACATGAGCCAGTCTTTCAAAAAATACATAAATAAATAATTCATTCATTCATCCACAGGAAACACAATGCTCATATCTGAAAGTAAACTCTGATATATATCCCCGACTAGCGTTACTACTAAATAAAGGCTAAATAAATGACTAAATATATAAAGACACTCTCCAGAAGAAGAAGTTAAAGGGATTTTATTTATTGTACAAGCAATATCTTCATAAGAATGACAAATTCTGCAGACATATTACCTTCTTACTGAACCTGAATAACTCACACACAGACGTGTCTGCTGCTTATCTTTGTTCAAACATGATGTTTTATCTTCTCTTCAAAACACATTACTCATCTTTCTGGCATCGTGTTACATGAAAACACCTGCATTCTACCTGTGTCATTGTACCACAAAGACAATGATTGCAACACTGTGCTTGCAAAATAGAAGAAATAAGACGACCAGCAAATACATCAAAGATGGTAAAAGTGATTCCATCTTTGTGTCTCCTCCCATTGTTTCCCCAGTCTGTCTAGTTCCCATATTCCCAGGACACCGCTGGACAACAAGTGGGTATTCCAAGACTGAGAGACAGCCAGAGTTGGCAAAAGATCAGACATTCTTAAGTAGAAGTAAAAATACTATTGTTCCAGTGAAAGTTAAAGTACTGATTCAACTTCATTACTCAGCTAAAGCAAAAAAGTACAGGCTCGAAGCGCTTACAGAGAAAAGCATACAACAGAATGCTGTTCGCGGCAGTAACACACACTTGGAGGAGAGGCTCCAGCCGTCCATTCCAGCCCTATCCCTAACATTAACTCTAACTATAACTTTAACCTTGACCCTATCAGGTCTTGTTTTACAAAGCGATTCATGATCAGAATAAAAAACACATTTACACATACCGATGATTTGTCACATAGCATCGTTACCTGTTGGGATGAGAACGTGTTGTTTCCAGAACACCACAAATTGGGGTGTCTGTAGCTCAGGTAGAGCAGGAAACCTACTAATCAGAAAGTTGCTGGTTCAATGCCCCTCTGCTCCAGCCTGCATGCCAAATATCCTTGGGCAAGATGCTAACCCCAAGTTGCTCTCCGATGCATCCATCGGGAGGATGAATGCGTATTAATGTTAGATAGAAAGCACTTACAGAGAAAAAGCATAGAAAAAAGTGAGTGCATGAATGAGGCAAGTTGTAGAGAGTAGAAAAGTTTTATACAAGAACCAGTTCATTTACCGTTATATTTTAGTTTTATTTTCAGTTCTGTACTTTTTACATGTAATATTGATTCATTAGATTGACTACATGTATTAGACCTAACTTGCGGACAGCAAATTTAAACGACCGTAATAATTTATTTTCAGCGTCTGAAATATTTATTTAGTTTGTTTTTTGTTTTCTTTTTGGCTCCTGATATTAGTCAACTACTATTTGTCAATGTTGAACTAATAATGAATCTAAGAAAAGGTATTTGTCATGGTTGGCCAGCGTCAACCGTGGGGATATGAGGAAGGAGGAGCCAGGCACGGAGCTCTGAATGCAAGCAGTGCGTTTATTTACAGTGAATGGAAAATAACAATAAATCCGCAGTGCGTTCCCGACTCCCGTGAAATGTCCTCTTCCCAGTGCTAGTGTTCCTTGTCTCCGCTCCTCAGTGTCTGAGCACCCCGTGCTCGCTGCCCTCTCGTCTCCACGCTTCTCCTGGGGAGATAACAAACAGGCAGCCGTAAGACACATACAATGCGGCAGACTATCCGTACTGACTGGCCGAGAGACTAACGTGAAGTCACGCAATGATCCAGCGTCAGAGAGAGCGCCACCGCATTCTTAAGTAGCTCCTCCGACAAGGCTTGATCAGCTGTGTGATGGTCTTCAGGTGTGGCCAACCACCTGGCAGGGCCACACCCACCAGGCCTGAAGGTGCCTGTAAACAGGTGCTCTCAGAAACGCCGGCATCCACACACACACACACACACACACACACACACACACACACACACACACACACACACACACACACACACACACACACACACACACACACACACACATATACCTGCAAGCAGGGAGAAGGAGGGACAGCACACCAAAAACACACATGTCCATAACTGCTGGGTCGTTTAGACTCCTGAGCTGTGCACGAGGGGTCGACCACCCACTGGAAGGCCGGGCACTTGTTTTCAACCGTAATATACCTGATGTGCTCAGGTAACCTGTAGCGCCATGAAACCTCTGTCACACCAGGGCGCATAAAAAATGATGCTTTAAGAGACTGATGGGATCGGGCAGCAGGGAAAACATCCACAAAATGCTACTTTCAGTTTTTAAGTAGAGTCATTACATGCTTGTTAAAAGCAAACTCTCATATAGTTTTTAATGTGCTTCTTTCATTACAATGACTAGATAAAGAATGTGGCCCTGTCTCTATTTAACACTGGCTACCCCAAAATGTTTCCAAACCTTCAACCGTAACTTTCACTGAGAGATTTTTAGATACGGTTATTGAAGCTGTGGGGTTAATTTTTTAAGTAACACGAGACGAGAGGCAGCAGCATACACACAGAGCATCAGTGATAGAAAGCTAGGCTAACATAGGGTAGCTACCTGTTCAAGGAGAAACATGTATAGGCCCATCTCAAGTGCCAGTGAACATCTAAATGATTCAGGGAAGACTTTGGAGAAAGTGCTGTGGGGAGATGAAACGAAATTATGTGGCTTTAACTGACCTTTTGAAATAGGAGTGTGATGCAAAGAATAGCATCCCCGCAGTCAAGCAGAGAGATGGAAACATTATGATGTGGGCAACAGGATGACTTAGTCGGGGTTCCAAGCAGTCAGGAAATGTGACATCGTCAGACTGCAGGCCACGGATTGGCTTTTGTCTTTCACTAAAATCAAAACTGCAGTTTTTTTAAAACCCTGCAACAAGGCAAATAGCTGCACAACACCGTGGTTTCCAAGTGTGACAAAAAGCCACAGATACATCATCGCTGCGACGTCTTCCTTTGTTGTGGCATTCGTGTTGCTCATAAATGACAACATGGACATCGGGCCGCTTTGCTGTAATGACCCCACGCACATTAGGTGGTACTTGATTGTAATGGAAAATGAGTCACAGCAAGCTGATCTGAGTATGTACTAATGGAGAAGTGCTATAAGATCACGGAGTGGTCTAGTCAGTCTCCAGACATCAGTACTGTAGAAAATCTGTGGAGGGAGCTGAAGTTTCAACTTTCCAAGTGGCAGTCAAGAAACTTACAGGATTTAGAGAGTTTCTGTAAGGAGCAGAGGGTTAATGTTTGTGTGTCCTCACTGTAAAGACTGCAGGTTACTGGAGCGTGTCGTGTCATGTTTCCTGTTGCTCTGAGGTGCATCCAACAAATACACAAATCATTTACCACTAATAATAACACCTCCCCCACTTAAGTGTGTTCAACAGGAAGCTAAAGACTGGTGCTGTTAAAGTGTTCAAAAAACAGCAGGAGCTCGGTGTGAGGCCACAGTGGGCCAAAAAACACAAGATGACCTCCAGCAAGGACAAAATGTATCTGGACGTCTCTGTGAGCATCTGTCTCACTGTGTAAGTGTAGCACAGTGTCTGTGTGTGCATGGCTGGGCAAGAGAAACAGCACAACTGAAAGCCAGCACTCAGACGAGGACCCGGTGCATCGTCTGTCTCATCTCAGCCAGTTTACTTACAAACTCTTTAAGTTTGGATTTTAAAGCCGACAATGTGCACAGGGCAGTGATATTTAAAATGAAGGTAAACTATTCCAATCTCTGCAGCCCCAATTGTGTATCACACACACGCTAAGTTCTCCTCCTGCCTTCAGCCCAACCGTTGAGCGCGATGACAAATAGAGCCGCAGAATTTTGCTGCTGTGTAATTAAATTGAGACGTGGGGTCAAAATTCCCACCTAGATTGAGTGAGATGAAATAGAAATCGGCTCTCCTCTAACTGACTTTATAGAAATAATTACATAAGCTGCATTTATAACTGTTATTAAATAACAGCAGCACACGAGAACTAAAGTGTAATCCCAGCACATTTCGCTTCGCTTGCACTGATTCTTTAGAGATGACGACCGTGGTGGGTAATTAAGGGCAAACAATATACAAGTGGCGTGAAAAATGGAGGCTGCATTACCTTTCCAAAGCTTCCTTTCCCGATGGCCCGCAGTATCTGGAAGTGGTCAAAGTTTACTGTGGAGAAAATGAGAAGCAGTTAGTGAGAACGTGTCAGTTTGAGCTGAGCTATAAAACAGGGAACATGACATGTACAGCACTGTGCAAAAGTCTTGAGCCATCCCTCATTTGCTTCCAGGGATCCGGACTTCCCTGTAATCTTTAAAGTGGTATTAAGGAATAGCTCTCCAGGCTTTTTAAAGTGTTTCTGATTTTTAATCCAGGGCTTGTATTTGACCACTTTTTGTCTGTTAAGACCCTTCACACTAATCTCTGAAACATTCAAACATAAACAGACACCTAAGTCACGGAAAGGACCACAAAACTTAACAAAGAACCAATTTTAAATTGTATCTGTACACATTTACTTGCAGCCTATTGCAAAAAACAAAAGCCCACATCATTTGTTCTCACTTCTTTAGTTGAAGAATGCAGTTAATAACACCGTTAACACAGACTGACCTGGCAAAACACGAAAAAATAAGGGGGTGGTTCAAGACTTTTGATCGGTACTGTATGAGAAATGCAAATGTGCACTTCACAATGTATCGCTGCACTTCGGCAGTACTGTGAAGATTAAATGTTTTTTCCTTCCCGATGCATGTGAAAGGTTAAGACTTACATCTCCAAATGTACTGGAACTGATTTGAACCAGAGGACTCAGCCACACTGTTACTATGTACTGCATAAACACGTTTACCGATGAAGGTAAATCAGACGCTGTCCTGACTGTGTGGCTAAATTTTGTGCTGAAAGCATCAAATCAATTGAATATGATTAACTTGCTATGAGAGGTTTTTACTCCAAGTGTGACTTTTTCTGGCTTCATACACCTTTCAGGGTCAAATTCAAGCACTTTGTAAGCACGTTTAATGTCCATTTTCAACATTTTCCAGCACATTACCATAAAAAGGATGCATATTTCACTTCGCATCACCTGAGTAAGACCACGTGAAAGGCCAAATGAATAAGTCTTCTCATCAGATATTGATGCTTCTTTCTTATGTGACACAAAAAACAGGAGGAGACAGATCTTTGCTTGTGTTGTTTTTTAAGTTCATTCATTCAAAACTAACTGTAAGACGCTTAACTACATTGCAGTCTGTGTTATTGTTGTAGACCTAATTATCACCTTTAAAGTGTTTGTGCTAATAACATCATGTAGAGTAAGACAGGCATAGAGAACAGCACTGACTGGGAGAGGCTTTGAACACATGACATACTCAGATCAATTCAACACTTTAGACTTTAAAAATGCACAAGCGTCTTTCAAAAACCCATTTATTTAATCTATCATCATTGATATTATTATGTACAGTTAGAATGTACTGTTCATCTCCCTTAAATAAACAGGCAGCCTTAAAGTGTGAAATAGTCACTTGTCTACTGTCTCAGTGG